TAGTGTAGAGCGAAAGGACAGACAAGTAGCTTGACGCTGTCTAGCGTCGTAACACGGGAACTGCGGGCTGACGGAGAGGAAACCGTGCGAGATGTCGAAAAAAAAAGGTTCGCATAACAACAACAGCGGCAGCGCCATGGTGAAGGTCAACAGCAAACGCCAACGAATAAGCGTCAGGCTCCACTCAGCTACCGCTTCGTGGAGAAAGAGTTAAGCCGGTGGCCAAACATAGTTGACGCGCTGCTTTCGCATGCAGCTGGTAGAATCGCGTAGCACATCGCATTGAAGCTTAATAAAAGTAATAATTATTGCTGTTTCAAATATTTAACAAATGCCTTAGCATTATGAAAAGCTGTGAGACGATAGTAAGTAACAGGTAATACAAATGGGAAACTGTGTAGTTTGCAATAAGCTGAAAGAAATAGCTGAAGAACTATTTCGAAAATTCGATTTTTCCTTGCGTTCCATTAAAAATGTCCGCTTTGAGAGAACAAAGCTTTCATCATATTAAACAAAACAGAAATATGCAAACGGCGGTTTTTTTTTGGCAACCTATTGTCATTGATCCGATTTAGAGCATTTAGTAGTAACTTAATGACAGATGCTACGGCGAGTCTCAGAAACAAGAAGCTCCCAAGGGGCAAATAAGTGAATTCGATGCCTTGCGTTGGATAGATAAATTCGACTGTGCGTGATGATTTCGAAACGCAACGATTTTAATCACAAAATTCAGCCCAATACATCCAGTTGTCGAATATGAAAACTTGAGCCGTCTTGAGAATCAAGGCGTTCCATATTCAGTATTATTCAAGTTCAACTTGAGAAATTTGAAAATTTACTCCTATACCTTTGTGTGCGATTGTAGCTTATCTTGTCGGTGAACGACTTGATTGTCCATTAGGATATATATAATACGAAGGACGCGATTTAGATGACTTGAAATATGGAATCCATACACTTACTAAACGTTAAAAGCATATATGATTGCTCGCTAATTGTGCTGATTATTACGAGAGACACTAGCGTCGTGACTTCTGCTAATTACTTTCGAAGAATCAGCGTAGAGTAGAAATCAAATAAATGTTGTACCGAAAAGAGCACGATTTATCTTCAGAATATATTATTAATTCCTATATATGGCTATCATGTAAATGTTCTCTACATAGCCTAAATACAATGCAAAGATTAAGTATTTAAAGTAAAACTTATCAAATGATAGAACTCTGAGCTATTGAGGAAACGCCTTCGTGATCGCAAATCATCAGACGCAATTATGACGCCGAAAGTCAAGTTACACTCATGAGAAAAATCCAGTGGATACACTATCAGTGTAGACATTGGGGCTCCATTGATTTTACTTCAAGTCTTCGTTTATAACGCCTGAGCAGCAGATTGTTATAGCAGGGCGAATACTCCCACATGCATAACAATGTAACCCACTCTCACTCTGAGCTCGCGGGCCTCTGGGCAGGCCTGACAAAATATCAGCTCTTTCGAGGAGTATATGTACATTACACATAAACGAGAAAGCCTCTAGGATAACGAGTCTATGTTATTACACCAAGCGCCCTTGAAGCTAATCAAGTTGGTATATCAATATCAATCAAGTGGATAATACTTCTAGCATTATGTGACCCAAATCATATACTGAAGTCGTGACTACGAACTATATGGTAAAACGTTTACTTTGGCATAAGTCAAAGGAGGTTGGACGTAACTGCTGTATCAAACGAAGCGGGCCTTAAACCTCTTAGGTATACTACTTGTTCAGCGGACTGTTGGCGTACAAAGGTCGCAGAAAGATAACCCCACTTGAGCTGGAACTTACTCGCCTTTCAGATGTAAGAAGTGCTATCCTGCTATTGCTAGAAGGTAAAGACCTCGGTGTATAAATAAGTGTGTGTCAGGACGACAGCCTGCGAAGTATGTTACGAATAAGACGAAATGACTGTGTAGTAGTAGTTTTTCACGGTACACCTAATCGACAAACTGGATCTTATTTGAATAGAGGTAATTTTCTAAATGTGCAGCTTTTACGAATTGCGGTTTTTGAGCAAACTTCATACTTTTCCTGGTAGCAATATCAGAGAGGCTATTTTATACTAGAGACAGGTGAAACATAATAATAACAACAACACCTTTGAATACGATTGTGTTAGAATTATTAAGAAGAACCGAGCGCGGTCAGGATGATGCAGCGATACCGGAATAAGCTGATCCACCCCAGGCGGGCGACTATCTGCGGTAGTTGCACGTGATGATTCAGTGAGGTCAAGCAAAACCTGCCGACGTCAACACATATCGCAAATGCCGGAAGCGAGCAGAACTGGTCACTTGTTACGCTGACGCTGATGCTATTTCTTAGAACGGATAGTTCAGACTTGCCTGATACACATAGGTAGCATTGCTTCACTTACTTCACTGGTGACATAATACTAGCAGTAATAACAGTAACTACAAGTACGTAGGGTAGCTATTGAATGACAAAGAAAGTTACGAAGCTTCAATTTTCAAATCGACTTTACAAGGCAGGAATTGTTTTGAGTCGCGAATTTCGGCAAACTCATTCGTAGCTGATTTGTAAACACTGTGCTGCACAAATAAATGGGCGCCAATAAATGGACCTCGTTTTTTAATCATACCTCATTTCGCTTATATCGAGTATTTGCTAGACAATAATTGGCCAGTATGGCGTGTTAATGTATTCTTCCTTATTTGTCGATTACAGCCTATCAGTAAAATAAGCCTTTCCAATCTGGCTGTTTTGAGTCAGCATTTTATACGCGAAGCTTCAAAGGCTAATTTATCGTGCACCTTATTTCTGCGATTTACCCATATGACATATATGTGCACGCTGCTTTTCGAAATCAACCATTAAAATGCGCCCGTTGTTACGCAGACCAGCAAAAAAGATGTGACATAAAAAATAATGGCTAACACTGAATTCTGTTATATTAAACATCCAGAAGAGGGAGTCACGCATCAATTACGACATGTTATATTAAGTCGGCGGCACTACAGGCTGTACGGCGTATTTCGAATTTCTGCAACGCTCCATGCCGGAACGAAAGTATCGTTTATCAACAGTTCCCTACACCAACAGCCACAGCAGCTAGTCCGAATGGGAACAATGCGGACTCGGGAGGGGCTTCGTCGCATAAAAGCTCACTGAAGGGTCTGACAGGGAACGGTAATGTTAGAAAAGTGCAGTTCTACCATTGATCTTGCTTGTAATATACGTGCGAGTACGAAGACAAGAAAGTTCTGTACGGCTCTATCAAGCGTATTAAAGCCACTTTCTGTGGCTAAACTCAAGGCAGTACACGGACCTAACCTTAATCTGTAGTTTCCAAACGACCGAAAGAAAAGCCTGTAACAACTGATTGGGCTGTGTCTTCAAAACGTACAGTTGTACTGACCTAGAAGAAGATCCATGAGAAGCTAGCATTTTCGTTTGCCTAATAAAAACATTGGGCTTCGGAGACGATCGCTTGATGTAAAAACAATGAGCGACACCGAAATGTTTAAAGATTCTATGAACAGATCTTGAATGTGTAGAATCGAAGGACTAACAGCAATTTCCATTGTGGCCCAACACACAGTAAACATATGATAATTCACGTTAGATAATAAATATACACACCTAAAAGAAGTAAAGACGATTCTATGTATATATCCCTCGACAAAAACTCTTCGTGGGACTTTAACGGTATTTCTATAGAGACCCATTTGTACTTTATCTAATGAACTATAGCCATCTGATGTGACATTGCAAATAATTCCTGCATGAGACTTGTATTCTATATTAGAAATATAGAAAAAAAAAAAACTTATTTATTTATCCGTCCGTAAGGGTCCGTCAGAGGAAATCAAGCGAGGAGTATACTACCTTGAGTTGATTGTATTGTTGCACAAATAACGGCCTCGTTCAGTCAACGTTCTTCATTTAGCTGAGTCAGCTTTTATTTGAAAAATTAAAAAATTTAGTAATCTATACCAACAGATGTTATATTCACGTTATAGTGAAATCAGATTTTCCGCCATTTCATGTACGTAGTTATTTCCTTTTATTGTGCAATCTTCTGACGAATCGAAGGATCAATTGAGAAGCTTGTCTTCGTATATATAGCATAAGTAACATTGTGTACGTAATAAGCAAGAACATTTAGATACTATGTTCTCCAAATGTACAAATATCTCCAGCTTTAAGTAAGTCTTGAAAAAAAAAAATTATTTTTCATTATCGTACCGGACATACTTGTTTACTATGAAGCGGCGAATTGGAGACACTTTCTAAGACAGAAAAAAAAAGCGTTTTATACTCCAACATGGAAACTAATCTTCCCTTAATCCCAGCCAGTGCAAAGAAATATGCATAAACGATAAATGCTTTTTCGTAAATAAATTAATACAGCTTTCGTAGTAATGGGATGATGCACGTCTCGCTAGATTCTCCGATGCGTGACATTATTGATCTTCTGTCTTGAATTTTCTTCAAACATAGCATCTCTCTACAGTCGTGTGATCTTAAGGCTAGAAACAGGTACACTGGCTTGAGGGGGGTCTGTTCCTCACTATGGTGGTAAAGACAAATTGGTTCAAGCCTTGTGACACGGTATATACAACTTTTATTGTTAACTAATATAAACGTTTCCATAAATAAATATAAACGTAAGATTTATGACAATCCTAATAATTCGTCTATTGTCTGTAGCCAGAAAATTGCAATTCTGTTAGGGATCACGCTTGGTCTTGCACCTAAACCAACTCAAATGGTTACAGTACCCTCAGATGGGCTAGTTTGACCTGACACTGCAGCAAACGGCAAACCTTTGCTTAACTAAATTCTGTTAAACGTCTACGATTCAGCTCTCTTAATGTCGAGTAAAAATATAAAGCAGGTTGAAAAGCACGGTTCTAGCTTGAAGCAAAAACCTGTGCTCACGATGTAAACGATGGACAAATTAGATACTTTCAATTCATACCTATAAGATACTTACTGCGTCCTTAGTGTCCATGGAGAGGCTTGGTATAAGCCCTAGAAGGACCTTGTTGCAGCTCAAGTGTTGATTACGTACCGTGTTGCGCTTTTATTAGCACAGATCAACCTCTTAACGGTTTCGGGTAGTCTTCTTATTTTAAAACACCTATATAAATTTGAATCGCTTGGAGTTGAAATAGTTAGAGTTGCGTCGAGAACATGGGCACTTATTTTGATATCAGATTGGGTCAAATTTTTGAACTGTTCCAAATGTCTGAGTGAGCAGTTCAGGATGCACAATACAAACTACTAGTCGAATTCGATAGGTAGAGCTTGATGAGGATCGGTCTTACGACGTCGAGTATTCGTCCAAAAATCGACCGATTTACACTTAACGTATTGTTTGTTCACGACCAATTGCTACATTCAAGTGGTAGGTGGATACCTGCTGCCTCTCTGTGTTTTTATTTGTAGCGAGCAAGCCAACTCATCCGTTGTCCACTAAAGTCCACGTATCGTGTTTTCGTTTTGCCCGCAGGTGGCAACAGCTATACAAACAACAAGTGCCAGATTTTACCAGAGAGCTCTGGAATCTAGCTTATCCAAGCTCGTCAAGCGCGAAACACTCCGATGAGCTCCTAGCGGCCATGGATGGGGACGCACGCTACAAAGCGTGCATCACGTCGAACATTCGCCTTCTCCGTCGGCTTACCTTTGTTCACGGAGCACGTAACTCCTGTCAACAGGTGTGAGTGCGCTGCTAGCTTATACCCGCTGGTGTATGGTCAATAAATTGACACTCCTTGAGAGTTTTGACAACACTTCCGTTTCTCTTGAAAGAACGTATTTAGATCGAGTTAAACCGGTCTTAAAAGCGAAATGCGTTGCTTTCTGATCTTGTTAATCAGACGCTGTACAATTGTGAGTTATGAAACGAACCCTAGGGGCTACAGACTTTTTAGCATAAAAATTGAGCGTTGATCGGAGGTTAGCTCCACACAACCTATTGACTGAGTAAATGCGATACTTTTTGTAGTTACAATCGTCATTCAACGCACTAATCGAGCTGATGTTGGTCACTTTAACGTCAACCGGAGGACGTTTTTGAAGCTTGTCCAGTTTGAACACAAATTAACGCTGGTTAGGGTTTATCTGGTATACGATGTTGCACTGTACTACTAATACGTAAAACAAATAAAGTATGACACAATGGAGGTACAGGTAGACACACACAACTCGATTCCTAGCCAGAACTCTGGTGTTAAGTTTTCGTACCGTAGAAACGTGTGGATGGAAATACGTCCAAAGCGTGCTATGAACGCAGCGTCACCTGAAGCAGATCTTTTGTGAAAAGTTTATCGAACCTGCCTAACGGCCCAACATTAACAATACTCATATATTTTACACAATGGGTTCTGGTTTAATAACAAAAATATAGTAAACATCTAGTCCATTCACGACGGCGCCACAAGAGTGTATGCCGGTGCGATGGAGGCACGCGTGCCGTCTCAGAGACAAGAACCGGAGCAGCATTGGAGAAAGGGCAAATGGATGAGGGTGCTCCCATAGGGAGAGGGCGGATTTCTGAGCCCGTACGCAAGGTACTAGGATTGAGCCTTGATTGTTGTTAATAATCTTTATATTAAACGTATTATTCGAAGAAAATCAAGGGTTTTGATTCCAATACTGCTTATATATATATATATATACCTTCAATGCCATATATTCAATAACACAATTTTTTTTACTATATAATTATTACGCTACACAACGAATATCATGTTTAATATAACTTAGATAATCACATCTGATATAGCATTTGCGTATCTTTAGTGATTCATTAGCATGTAGCGCTGCTGGGCAGACTTGGACGAAGTAGTTTTAATGTGCTTTCTTGATGTTCTTGAATTGTATTGCAATACGTAATATAGGCTCCTATCTTAATTGTAACCCTGAATCAGATTGCTTCCTCAGAGCGATCGTGAAATTATCCATTTGATTTTGATGACAACATCTTAAGCAATAATTACAGTAACATCGTTTTCGAATATTAAATAGATTAAAATATGTTGAGAAATAGAATGAATGACAAATCAGTGCGTCCGGAAGTAAAGTAGACTCTCACGATTTCCGGAAACTGATGGAATGGCATCGAATAATGGAATACGTAAAAAAAAACGTGCTGCGATATATTGGCTTAAAAAGAGCTGTCAATCGGCCCATTGAAATTCAACGGGACCTGTAATGCTGCCTTCTTGATTTTTTAAATTTAGTAGTAGTCTTAATGGCAATATTTATGGAGTAAATAAGAAAAACCATTTAAATAGCCAAAAATCACGGATATGTGGGGAAAAATGACGAACACTTCTATGTGAAGGATATAGAATAATATAATGTAAAGAATAGCAAAATAAACATTCCATCCTTGCTTGTCGATGTATGCAAACAACGAGCATACATAAGTCCTTACCGTTAACCTTGCACCAAAAATGAACCACCATAACTGAGCAAAGCAGGTGATCGCAACTTGATGAATTTTCGCACTTATAATATCGGAATATTTCTTCTGTCTTAAACTTTGAGGCCTCCGTAGGAGACCTCGTTCACAGCTGTTATCTAATAATATAATGTTACATACGGGTTTATCTAGAAAACTGACCAGTTTTCGAACTAACATGATAAACTTCTAGTGAAAAAAACAAAATAACTTCGCCGAACTTTTTATGAAAAAATGCGTAACACATTCAAATTCACCAAAGGCTACCCCGGTAACCGCTTTAATGTTCCCTTAATAGACGTATTATGATCAATCCACAAGATAAAACAAATCGATACTCAGTATTTATGAGGAAGTGGAGATCTTGCCCACAATCAAAACGACATTTTTTTTTTACCAGAGTTGGGGAATCATCGATGAACCGGAAGCCGTGTCAATGACGACATGCAAACAGTTTGCGCCATAAAAGGTTATGTTGAAAATGCATTTTTAACTGGAAACGTTCAAAACGGCAGAGGTTATCTATTAATTGCATTAGTAGTAACCATAATTTTCCGAATTAGTTACAATTCACTACTCTTACTTTATCATTTAATACATAGGAACGCAATCTGCCCAACCCACACATTCCTAAATCGGTACTAGACCTTTGCCGAAAACCTTGCTCCAGACAAACATCGGTCATCGACCAGCGTATTCATCCATAATTGTTAAGCTGCGCGGAGTAACTTAGCAGGTCGAAAAGGTTGTCCAACTCTTAAACCATCCATGAGGTTTTTCATGAATCTAATCTATATCTAGAAGTATTCGCCATAACACTTTCAAACAATATATCTCATAACAGCAAATATTTCTGATATCCATTGCGAGTATGGGCATTAGCTTGTGTTAGAATCTATGATCACTGCAACTATTGCGCCGTCTGAGGTCATTAGGTCAAGCCAGCTGTTCTGTCATTTTGGAACTCCCAGTTGTCCTTTTTTCGAATGACCGCACCTATAACGAACAATTAATTCGCTGAAGGCTTTTTTGTCCGCTGTAACTTTTTATCGAGTTTTGATGAATTCCATCAGCGGCCTCACCTTTAAAAAATAGAATTACTGAGAACTGATTTTCAGAATTAAACAGTATCTTTGTTTGTAAACTCAGCCTTTTTTTGATGATACTCAGGTGCTTGTGTCGTTGTAGACTTAATATAAATACTATATTTAGCAATGTTTTCTGCTAAAAATAAGATGCTTAAAAGCTATTTAAGATCTACGCTCCTTTAAACAGTTCCAAACAAGGTCTTATTTATATATATACTTATGTCTTATAGAAGGGGTTAGCTCATTCTCGAGATCGTAGTTTGCCATTTGTAGCTTTTTTTCTTACATAGAGAAGCAGAATTGTTAGAATAATAAATTGTAGCTTCTGGCTTCATAGTTTCTCTAGCCATTTATATATGATTCAAGTCCTGCGCATTCTCTTTCTCGTATTTTCCGCGTCCTGTGAATATTGTTGGAAAATTAGTAGCGTTCTTCCTCTAGCAGTAAGAGACATCTCCAACGATCTGATATCTCAGCTGATGCTTTCTCATAGGAACAGCCTTTGTTAAGAAAAGCTTTTGCGTAACGGGCCAAATTTTGAGACGCGCCTCAAATGAAACTGGCTAACGGCATCGGGCTTACCGCAGCTCTAGCCATTGCCAGAATCAATAACGTAGTTACAGAAAACAGATAAACGAATAAGCCCTTGTCTGTGTTTGATATATACGGTAATTCGTTTGTTTACGCGCCGCTCTACACTTGTTTTCAGTTTGCTAATTCGAAGTCAGACAGCGACGCTCTGATATCTCGATCGCTCGATAATGCGGACACCTCGATGCATACTACCCCGTTGGATCAGTTGCACCGAAGCATCTTCAATCAATCAGGAGCCATTTTTGTAACTCTCGGTAGAGGTTAAAAAGCTCTATGCATCACATTTTATTATCATATTATAAATTCTATAAAATTCAGAGTTTGCTTATCTAGTTACTGGCGTCACGAAAATCGCATATGTATAGAAGAGCACTTGACCACGCTTTAGACTGGTTAAGGTAACTAATAGTCTTATCGAATAGGATTATATGATACAACAGACGCCATTTCTGAATATTTAATAGAGAATCCTCAATAGATATAAGCTTTGCTGATAATTGCCTCACGTTGCTTAGTCTCTCTGTGGTGAACAGAAGCGAATGCTCTATATGCACATTTGCTAGTTTTAACAATTTTATATATATATATATATATATATATGATGTTTAACTATAACCTATATGGCTGATAATGCATTTCAGTTGACGGAACGAAGATTGAGGAACATCGATCCTAATCAAAATGAAGTTAGACAGTAGCGAAGCTAATTCACGCCATCTATGTACCGTTCTTCCAAGCTAAAAGCTTAAGTGAGCAGAGGCTGTACCAGACGACGTTTGACTGCACGTCATCACGACTCTGCACGCAACAATCGCTCTACATGTTTCAAAGATGTCATTCTGCAAAAGAAAATTTAGCCAACAAAAAAATTAGTTTGATTGACTTCACCGGAATAGATTCAAAATGGTTCACGGTTGTTTTGTCTCATCAATGTATAAAGCTATAAATGGATGTCTGATGATCTATTTGTTGATATGACAACAATGGCCATCGAGAGTTCAAGGAACGTGCCAGAAAGCCAGCCGTGGACGACAACCTATTGCAGCCACTAAAAAATAAACTTTACTGCGACATTCTTCCCGAAGGGTTTCACGACGATAGCAGAAACGAAAAATTTTACACAAGAAAATCGATGAGCCGATGTTAGTAAAACTTTAGTAGTTGGACGAGACCTAAAAGCAGGGATGGCTTTCTTTATTCATAGAAATTCATAGAAATAGTATTTATGTGTTGCTGGAAAAGAAAACAGCAACCCGATTTTTGTTTAACCACAGGTCTAGTTGTCTAAGCCACCGGGTTAACTTGATCTAGATCTGTTAACTCTTAGTGCTTGGCTTAGACAATAGGTTTTAGCGATACATCTGATAAACCTATAAACGATGATCATAGGGAGATCACGTCTGCAATTTGTAATTAATAACAAGACAAATTCACAGATCGAAAACGTCAAAAGCTATATAAGTAAATTACCTTGCGTGCACAATCATCCAGTGTGAGAGGAATATCTTCTAATTAAAGTCTCTGGTTTTAGTTGGATATAGAAGTGCCTACTTTTCAATCCTTTGGTCACACAATTGACAATGGTGCATTCTTTAATAGGCCCCCATGATTCGTTACGGGTTAAAGATCCTTATAACTCTAAAGTGAAGAAAAAACCGTAGGATATCGTGCGTCAAATGATCTGCAAAAAAGTTTCCAGCTAATATTATGAACGGATTATCATCATAGAAGAAGCATTTCCTAAAATGATACTGATTCCGCCGTATAAAGTATCAGTTTCTGTCATAAATCGGGACAACTTCGCTTCGGAAATAAATCGACGGAAAGAAAATAGTACGGGAAGTGCTCGAAACTAAGACCTAAAGTATTTGCTATATTGTGTTTATCAAAATCATATGTACGGTCTAGTGGTCAATAAGCAACCGGCCGAATAGTTAGATTAGGTAGAAGCCAAATTCATCGTATATGAAGATCCTATAAACGTAAAACATCCCTAACGATTTGGCGATGCAATTGTGGTTTCTCGACCTGATTACAGAGTGCCTTCATGAACGTGGATTTCGTGCTTTCAATCATGCCCAGGAATCTCTTGTACGAACTCAAGAACAAGAATCGACTGGATATAACCTCATAGAACAGTTTAGTCATTCCTCATGCACTCAAGCTGTTTTTACGTTCATATGGGTTGAAGTGAGTGATCATTTTGTCACTGGTACTGGGATGTGGGCTCTGCACGGGGAAAGAGGTTGTACTTCGATCAGTCGTCTGAGCAAGATTTGCCCCAATGAGAGGCAGAACTTGAAATGTCAGATAGTAGATCGTCTATTGCTACCATGTCTTTACTCATGCCAGAGCATTATCTATGGTTTCGTAAAAGAAGGGCTTGTCGCCCTACCACAGGAGGTATTGAAAAAAATCCTACGCTATCTGCCGGCGTCATCACTGTGTTCTGTGGCTGCCGTACATTGTGTACTTTACTCGGCGTCGAATGACAGTACTCTTTGGAAAAGCCTTTATAGCAGAGACTTTCCAATAAACTCTCTTAGTTATTCTTTGCGCGAAGTTAGCAACGGTCTACGTGCCAATTGGAGGGAGCGATATAAAACAGCGTATTTAGCTAGACAACGAGAACATTTTAAAAGAGATCGCATATTGCAAGTAGTCTCAGTCTCTGATCTGTCACAGTTAAAACGTTCTTCACTTATTTAATCATTAGTTGTCAGAGATGCCATTAGTCGGTTTGTTTTCTGGTATCGACTGAAATAAAAAAACTGATCAATACACTGGCTTTATTAATTATTACTAATTAATGTATTTTAGTTATGTAAAAATTAATTTGTATGTTTAGTAATAAGTATTGAGCAACAACAATGTCGAGAGTGAGAGAGGGACATATATATAGGGAGAGATCACGCGCAAAACTGCGCGCGCAACATATAGCGCATCATGCCCAACTAGTTCTACAACAATGTGCTGTAACAGGTAGCATTTTAAGAAAGAAGACACGATATATATACGTTTAAGCAGGCGCATCGTTGACGGCCCGAGCAGGCGCTTAATTCAGTAATAACTGTGTCTGGTACAGACATACCCTTCTGGAGCGGTAGACTCGAGACAACGGCTGACTCGATATAGTTTAATGAGAGAAATTCTGAGAAAACTTCGCAGTTCTTTATAGTTTTCATACTACTGGAGAAAACTAGTTCAGTGAGCTCACTGCGACATTCGTTTTGATAGACAATTTAATTTTGATAGACTTAGCATTTTTTTACCGGTCCCATATTATTGTAGCACCTCCAGGAACCGCTTTTAAATACAGAGTGAACGTGCTCATTTTTGTCTCTTTATCGATAACAGTCATCGCTAAAGCACCGCAGCGCAATGAGTCATTTTTTATATATTCAGTTGTTGCGAGTACCACACCCTGAGTTCAGGGTAAGATCAGGCTTGCATTCTGTTCAAAATATCTGATACATTATTTTGGTTACGGGTCCTTCTGGCGGGTCTGTTTTTGTGTGAACTTCATTTGTTCATTTTTAGACTTTGACACCTCTTAACGGTTAACTTTGTGGCGCTGACGGGGATGGGCCTGGGGGGGTTGCTGTTTAAAATACTGCCAATACCGAATACTGCCAATACCAAATACTGCATGATAGGCGTGACTAAATAAATAAACATTGTATACTATTGTTTTTACTGCTTAACTTTGAATAATTCGCTAGATATGTACTGACAAAACTCCGCACGCACAGCAATGTCAAAAATCGTTTGCGAATTGTGGGAATTATTTAAAAACGAAATATTCTGAATGTACGCCCCGAAGCATTTTTATGATAGTAGTTACGAACGAGTGCATAAGCTTAGTGAATTAGAAAATATTTTCGTGTGGACTGCGGGCTACTTGAATAGTCTACTGAGACAGGTTGTTCATAAAATGTAAATGTTCATTACTTTATTAAGCTTTACTACCATGATAACGACAAACAACTTTCAAGGCCCTGCTAATCTATGAACTATACTTTGGGAACAGACCCAGGACACTCGAGCTCTGTTTTTCGTCCAAACGGTTGCTGGACGCTTTGTGTAACGGCTTCTTTGCCTAAGGTGCCGTCCGTTGCAACTCTGAAATTTGTTAAACCAATGTTACTGTGGCTTAAATGTCTAATCGGTGTATCTTCTCATATTTATTTAGAATTTCATTCGCCAAGCATGATTTGGCGCGTATGCGAACCAATACTTAGTAACGGTTTTAAAAAAATGTACAATAAAATCTGTATCGTTCGATTCATTCATGAACGCTTTTTTTATTCGGGTTAGAACCAAAAACAGGGGGCAAGCGAAACCACAACAGGTTTGCAACAGTTACGTGGGGATCCATTTTTTCGGGTCACACTTTATTTACTATTGAACGGTGAACGCACGACCACACGGGGTATTCTGCAGGCTATTTTATGCTCCAAAATGACCATAACTAACTCAGTGTGGAACATTGATACTATAACAAATCCTTTCGTTGAAGACGGTAGACTTTCCCACGGTGCTGAGAAAGCCACAAACATCTGCTACTTTTGAATAGAATCTTAACTGCCTAAGAAGCAACAAACAACAGTTGGTACTTCCCTTTCTCAATTTAGCTGTTTTCATCTGCCCGTAGGAGAGTGGCGTCTGCTCGCTTCAAGGTCATTTCATTTTAAGTTCTCGGTGAGTAACACGCTGGCTGGATTCGGGCCGTCCACACTTTATAGTCGCTCATTAGATTATGCACTACGCTTTAACACGAGTTAAGCTGGCGTTATACTGCTTAAGTCATTCTAGTGATGAATTACCTTACGATATAGCAATTTAAGATCACCGTGATGACTAATTACGCATCTGCTAAACGTCGTGAGACAAACATAATATTACCCTTCACAGTACTTTTACTTACAAACAGAACATTTTTCCACGGTGTAATGATTTGCTAGCTGTCTCTACGCTTTCATCAGGTACATTTATCCTTTGTTCACCGCTCCGTACGTAGAATTACAACGCAGCGTGTGCGCATACAGAAACATGGCATTGATTCACTGGCTTATCAGCGGCCACTGATATAAGTTTCAACAATGAAACTTTCAAACTCGCTATTGTCCTCATTAAGTTTTTTTTTAACATCAACGACCACGCTCAAAAGGTGAGTTAGTGCGATACACTGTTTCTGCATGCAAAGCTGACTACGGTTATTGATCGATACAAAAAAATGTATATGATGAAATATGTTATGACGCAACAATTTATGATTTTTGTGATTACTCACGCATCTGAACTACCTTACACAGTGTGTAGACCATAACACGAAAGTTGGCGTCTTCTAACGCATGGAAAATGATTACGTTTTCAGAACGCACGGGGCCGCCAATGGTATTACTTTGCGAACTAGTTTACGGATGAGCCAACGAGTCGGCTGTAAGCAACAGTAACTTGAAGTAATTCATAAATTTAATTTCGCAGCTTACTTTTATCACTGTAATTCTGACAAAACCGTAAATCTGCTTTAGTGGTGTTTTAAAGCAGTCAAATGTGTAAAATATCTATCGCAGTTCATGTATATGCGATATAAATGTTGATTATGTTAAAGCAATTTGTAGACTATTCATTAACCGTGTACTAGTACAAAGGTTTTAAAACTGAGGCTTCCGTACCTCCCCATTAGGACCGCTGGTTCTAAGAGTACAGTGGTAACTATAAAGCATAGATAATGTTTATTTTCAAATTTGTAAAAATAAACATTCCAGTTGTTTTTTATATATATATATATATATATATATGTTTTATTAGCTTTTCTTTGGGCCGATGATCGTGAAATTGATGATACAAAATTAATAAGACATACGAAAATATATTGCTTTACGTGCCCGTAATATTTTATAGTTTAGTGAAGGAAAATGTTAGAAAATTCACAAGTAGAGGTCAATGTTATAGTGGAGTTTCTATTCGCCGCAACATGTGACAGAGCCACATAAATACTTCACAAGTACGAAAGAAATGTGGATCTAAAGAAAAAATAAATTATGTATGCAGTATCGCTGAATGTGTGAGACGTTGCCGTCGTCAAAGTTTAAGGTAACAGATTAGGCTAGGGTTTAGTAATAGGAATTGGCTCCGAGGCTTAAACATTTGTAACAGAACATAGTGGCTTTCTTTTGGTGGGGATATTTGCGCTGATGCTAACAGTCACAACATAATACGTTTGATTATTAGGTATTTGGTACAAACGAAAAACAATTATTAAATTTAATTATTTATTAAAATAAGAATTAAAGAATGCTATGAAACCTCTTGCTGAGTTGAGCTCCTCCGACAGGCCACATGTCCCACATTGGAATTGAATGTAAAGAGATTGTGCCCTTTTGTAAATATTTGTACTGGGACAGAGAGCAAACCTATTAAAGCTCTTAGTAGATTTATACCAGCGTACAGGAACTGACTGCACCTGTATAGCCACTTCTTAAGTTTTTCATACGATGATATGAGTTTTACCAATAAAAATAGGAGCCCCCAGCGGGTATTAGAAATCAACGAAAGCAAACCTATTTGAAGATTCAGATAAATAAAATGTGAAGTAGTTATTTGAGGCAAATGAGGTCGTTCGTGAACTTCACGTTATTGATATCTGTAATAGTAGAAATGGGATCTGCTGCGCGCCATAATTTTTATCTTACTATTACTTGAAGCCTTCTTTCACAGACCGAAAGAAGTAGATTCCAATTACATTTGTCTACCGCTAGAAAAGTAGCCGAACAGGATCAGATCTAGCATATTCCGGAGGTCTTTTTTTTTGTTACAGTGGGTAAGGTTTCGTTTCTTACAACCCAGATTAGTCATATTTTCGGATATATTGCGATGGATCCAGTTTGTATTCGCCTAGCTTAATTAGTATTCGTAGAAGCAAACGTTTCTGCCTAACAATACTAAAATCGGTTCTTGGTCGTCATGAAGATGGTATATTTTCAGTTAGGTGGAACTTCTTACCATAAAGAAGACGCCACTGTTAATTTCAGTTGCCTGTTTTGGTCTCAGTAGCTGAATGGTGGAAAGAGAAACTATTTAATGGGTCACGGTCGACATTTCGACAACTTTGCCTTCGCACTAACTTAGCTTCGGCTCGGATAGAGCTCAAACACATCTAGTGTACCGGTATCCATTTTCTGTAGCAGAAAGTGTACATATGGGAATTATAAAAGTATTTAATTATTGTCGAGGCAAGTTCTGAATAGTAAATGAAGTACGCTTACGTTTTCTGTAGAACTTGCCTCGAGAATAATTAAACACTTATAATTCCCATATATACATTTACCATTTACTACATACGTTTATATATCGAGGATGAATCGATCATTTACTATTTGTATCCATCATCACCAGACCATCCATGGTGCACTTAGAAGGCGGCTGAATGCAATTTTATACAGAGTTCTACAGAAATACTAGGTTACTTTCGATTAGAGATTATCCAGAACGTTTGTTTACCAATAAGTTGGTTGTAACTGATACCATACCATATTGGAAATTGCAAAATGTAAGTGATCTCAGCTCATAGGTCCTTCCTAGTCATCGTATTTTTCAACAGTGTCTTATATAGAAAATTATGGATAAATATAAGGCAGTGCTAGAGACATAATAAAAGGATAGCGGTTTTTATGATTACTCTGCTAGAAATGTTTGCACCAGGCGCACAACTTCAGCGGCAAGAAGCTCAGCGTTCTCTTTCCCATTGGTTTCTCCTGCAGCCTCAGCATAGACCCTAACGATGTCCTCTGTTCCCGATGGCCTAAAATACGGTAAATATAACCGTTCAGAAAGTTAGCATTAAGCAGAAACTGAAAGAAACGTTTACATATTGTCAATAAAAAAATTAAGAAAGTTATTGAATAACATTTCATAATTATATGTACGTTTTTTAATTAAAAAACGATATCAGGTCGTCACAAACGAATCCAGCGGATTGGTTAGGCTAGAATTATATTTTTTAGTACGTATTTGAAAACTCTAACACGTACTAAAAAATCGGTCCCTGCGTTCTGACAACTCCTGGGCGATCGTACACTTGCCATTCGTATTCGCGTACGCAAACCCTCTACTCATGAAAATAAATCAATAGTAGGATATGCTTGCTGATTTTTTGTCCTTTCTGGGGCAGGGAAAGCTCTTTAGAGCATGGATAATTGAAACATGGCGATGAAGTCTGGTATCGTCAGCAAGTAACCAGGTAGCGAGCTTGCGATTGCCATGTTAGAGGTCCGTAAGTCTTTCAAGAGACTCGAGACAGCGGGCGCGGTCATTGTTTGATTCTTGACGAATATTATATTGTAGCAGATGTCCTGATACTCATTGCAAATACTGTCATCGTCTTGCGTCCGAACCTATTTGACTGCCACCGAACTTCAGTTCCCTGCGATTCTCGCTTGGTCCCTGTCCTAATCATACTTTGTCTATAGCTACCGTATGTTCCAGGCGCGCTTTTCGTTGATTAAACTGCAATACACGTGGAATACACTATACGCATTTTTAACTAGCGTAGAATCAATTCACGAATGGTCCCATTTTCTTACCCGATTTCCGCAGTCTCGATATTTGGGTTATAATTCTGTAACACGTTATATGTAAAATGCCAGTTTTAGCCGACAGAACCCTTCGGCTCTAAGTTCTGGTTTTATGAAAAAGCTCTTTAGTTATGGCGATGGTTTCCGACTCTTAATAATTTCATATTTCGTCGCCAATACTCCAATCTCCGTTCTTGAAGCGTTTGCATTATTCACACGCTATCCTTCGCCTTCTTGCCTAATGTCTTCGTGAATCTTCGATGAATTTTCGAGGCACTGTGGTCTTCAAGGAACAAACATTTTTTCGAAACCTACTCCGGTTAGCTCGTCACAACCTAATACTATATTTCTAAGGAAAGTACAACTGAACTTTTTTCTTTCTTTATTATTTAACTCGTTGATACTATATCAAGGGTCATTTCAGATGAAAAACTATATACAAACCTTACAAAGGATCGTCCCTTCGGGTACCTGGCCACGGCTGTATCAATAGCAGCTTGGAGTCCCTCTGGAGCCGTGCATTTCGTTTCCGCATTTGTTGTTTTAATCGCTGTACGATCTGGAACCTTGGCGCAAATTCAATATATAGCAGAAATTTAGACTTTCTAATGTTAACTAAAAACTCAAATGACCTAAAGAGCTTATTGAACTATAAATATACGGGAGGTCAATTCTTATTATCTAACAATTTCAAAGTTTTTCATTATTAATGCTACTTGGGTTATTCAACGTAGAAATATCGCTTGTCTCCCCCTACTGCATCCATTCCGTCGAGAATCAGATACAGATATTCTGGACCATGGCCCTTCTTGGGAAAATAATTACTTTATAATTGAAACTGTCTCTGAAACAGATAGCTCAGTTTGTACGCATCGAAAGGTAAGCAAAGCTTAGTTTAATAGAAAAGTCAACAACAGTTACTTACTGTAACTTTGATCTGTCGGCTGGGGAGATCTTCGTACTCACTGAGCCAGTCAGCGACATCCAAGTCCAAATCCCTATGTAAGAATCCAATTACAAGAGTAAGTGCTTCAGTCTAACAAATGTCATTTGTACTATTAAAATCGAAAACTTCTAAAACGTTACCATATAGTTTGCCAAGCAATCTTGCACAGGTTACAGCAGTTCCATTTAACTTTAAACGGCTGGCCACAACTTAGGTCTGCCTATTGCTATATTCAATCTGTCATTCTTCGCTCACGTTCTATTTTATGCATATGATGACGCTAGCAGGTAAAGCCGATGTATGTCCAACCGGTTCATTGACTTATATTGTAGATATTTATATTCTAGATCAGCTATAATAGAGTTATTATGCTGGAGTCTCCGTATAATATAAAATACAGGGCTGGGTATATCTATTCAGTCCATATAGTTTGCTGATATAATAAATTACTTGTTGGTGATCTTTTAGGTAACTCATTTTTACCTCAGAACAGCCTCAACGAGGAGCAAATCAGAGAGTGCGTCGCCTACAGTCTCGTTTGTCATATCGATGAAATCCAAAAGTTTGCGGGAAGCGACTGCATTAGAAGAAGCTATTAGCTGTTTGGCACGAGCGCTGAAGCAAATCTGAAATGATTTCCAAATAAATGAATGTATCAGATGCTGTAGTGGCTTTTTGCCCTTGTAATTTACTTCAATTCGTTACTACATAACACGCCTCCATTTTAGCATAGTCAGTATGCTATTCCAAGTCCAAATTTCTATCTTCTAAATTAAATAGAGTATAAAAACGTACTTTTGCATTAGAGCTATCTGAAAATCTGAATGCTCGAATAAGAGCAGCGGTTGTAGAATGATTGCTTTATCCACGTTTGCTTATGTGTTCCCATTAACTTAAAATCTAACACTAGTGCATTCTATTATATATTATACGCTTTATATCCTTATACATTTCTCTCTCTACCACAATATTTTGATTTTATTAGCCATATACACACCGTTCCGTGTCCGTTGGCTTCAAAGTAAATACCGACACCGGCCTTAAGGGCCTCATGATGAAGATGCTTTACTCCAGTAGGTACACATGTCACTGAAACGTTCTGAAAATACAAAACGGAAAATTGTTTATAGAAAGTAGCCATCACAAACAACATCTATTAATCTAAATAATTATAGTATACGATAATGAGTATATAGCTGTTGTAGATATTGTAAGGTATTATGTTTAGTGATTTGAATTTTTTACTATCAAAGTAGTGACGCTAGAACATTTTAATTAGCTGCGTCCCTCGCGCTCCTTTGTTTTCTTTGAAATTTTGCGCTGCAGATTCATTTAAGATGTTCAAGAATACTAAAGCAGGCCACTAATTTGCCCTGTTCGAGATATTCAAACCTTGCATTAGCTATATGACCCTTTCGATTTAATTCGTCTTTAACTTATCCATCCCTACCCCACTGCAGTTTTCTTTAGTTTAGGTTTGTTCACCAACTTCGATCAAAGCCAAGCGGCTAACAATGATCTTAACTTTTACCGTCTATTTGCAACTTGAACCTTTTCTTCTACTGGCTTAACTACGATATACATATTGATGTTTTTTATTATGTGAAAGCCACTAGAGCATAATTTCTATGGTTCTGACGCTGTTCGGTTAACTTTGTGTTAATTAGTTTTAAATCTGTTATCAACCGATGGAAAATACAATGATTTAATTGTTAAAGTTTGCCTTTGTTTTAACACTTCTTTCTGTATACAATTTCTTCCAGTACACGGGCAGTGGAAGGTCTGGATGCAAGATTTAAATATTATGAGTGATATGAACTTCCTGTTTAGCCTTTTAGTTCTACAATAAATAGTATAATCCCCAATTATAGGTTTTGCAAGGAATGTAGCTTCGATTGTAAACGGTTGTTTGTTTGGAACAGTGTGCCTAAACCTTCTAAAGAGATTATTTGTAACCGACTGCATCTGTGTCTCGAGTTCTATGTCCGGTACCGTCACTAGGCATTCCATCAGACGGCTGGCTCCGAAACGAAGTCTGTCTATGCCCGGGTTCTAAAACCACAACGTGCCCCTAAGATTAGCACGCAAACCCCTAAGATTAGTTACCCCGGGAACTACTTACCCACCTACCTACCTTCTAAAAATAGAGTCATTAAAAAAAGGTCATTAACAATTACCAATTTCTGATTAATGGTTTATACTTCTGTATTGTTATTTGTCTGCTCTGCTTGACACCTTGTCAAAATAATCACCTTATTCTATATCAATACATATTAAGCGTAACACACCGAGTTTAGATCCGAAACTAAAGAACCTACATTTTATTAATAAAAATAAATGAACAAATAAATAAAAAAGGGTCAATTCTAATAATCCTGATTGGTGAATAGAACCAAACTCGAAGATTCAATTGCAGACAGTTGCAGTTCTTGTTTAATATTCTCCAGAATAAACATTTCAACCCAATTTTCGTTAGGAGTTTGATACTCATTCAAAAGTAAATGTACCAGCTTATTTCTGATGTATTCGGTAGAACTTCCATTTGCATAGGCCGTCTGAATGATAGCCAGATCTAGGTCTTTCACTTGAGCTTCATCTAGAAGTTTCTTGAGGTAACGGGTGAGAAGTGTAGCTATGCGATCCCCATCAAGCAACCTGTTACCAACAAAGTATAAGGATTAATATAAACATACGTAAAGCATAGCGCATTACTATAAGCATCTATAAAGTGAATATCTAAAAGAACGTCGCGTTTTATAATCTACCCTGTAGATTATCTCGGTATATCAGTAGCGCTAAATTAACTGTAAAACTATATCATAGAAATGCTTCTCAACCAACCTGAACTTCCCTTCAGAATCGGCAAAGTAGTAAACAAGTCTGTCCGCGTCACCGTCGAGTGAAGCATACCGCGCCAATGGACTCAACGTTAAGCCTGAAACAGGTTAATGTGACTACTAAGTACCAACATACACTCGAATATGCTGTGTCCTCATTGGATAGACGTAAAATTTAGTACAGAAGAAACGGTAAATAACTACTACTTCGTCGGCTGTATGCATTATTATATATTGCAGGTGTCCCTCGTAATATATATATATATATATATATATACGTAAAGGACATACAGAACATAAGCTAGGCGGAAAGAGCCTCGAATTTTTGCTTCAAGCCTCACTATGCGACGAAAACGCTGCATAATTTGTAAAAAATAAGGAACAAGAATAAGTGGATCATTTTAACGTTACAAAAACAAACGCAAGCACGGATTTGTAGTATGATACGATGTCCGTAACCTCTATATTTCGAGTGCGATGTCCGGTATCGCCGTTAGGCATTCCATGAAACAACAGAGTCACTATTTGAAACGCGGAAGTATTTCTATTTGATCTGTTAGGTTTTAGAGGGTATAGTTGATTTAAAATAGAACCAAATTAAAAATAAAATTCACTGTACCGGCGGGTGCTTTCTGGCCGGTTTTGACGTAGTCGGCCCCGCATTCGTGGTTCAATATCCCGTCCCCATCATTGACAATTGTCACCTAAAACTCAGGTTAAAATGTTTATTTTAATAATATCATAACAATTAAATGAAGCAATAGTATCAAACAAGATTAATAATGTAACAGCTAAATAAATAACTTTGTTAAAAAACTACGAGTTCAGACAAATTTGTTTGGTGCCAAATCAAGGAACCATACACTCAAAGGAAACTCCGTGTCGTTGTTGTGGCGGCGTGTTCTAGATTACTATTTAATTCGTCCTTCATTTAACTATGGCCATAAAAATGTAAGTGGTTCTCCAACTTATCAAACTTTACCTAGAACTAATTCGATCTGATTCATTCTCGCAGCGTGGCATACTCGAGTGAGATAAAATCTATGTACTAATCAGGACACTTCATCAGTGTGATGTATCTAAGACTTGTTGTAAAAAGATTTACCTGGACGGATCCTCCAAGGTGTCCAGCGAGCACTCGTAACTTTTCAGACCCCACTCCATTGGCAGCGTCCACCGTCAGCTTTGGATTGTAGTGCGTCGGGTTGCTAGCCGTCTTGGGTTATATTAAAAGATATTAAGCCTTTATAATTAGTTAAATAAATTAGGCGTGAAACAGGACTACCAGGATAGGAAACTTTTCGACTGAGACATAAAATTTGACGCGAAGCTGCCTCGTAATTAGGCTAACCTACAATGGGATTCTGAATTTCGCTGTGTTTTATAACTTAGAAATTGACAAAATTGAAACAGACAATAAAGTTTTATTGAGGAGTGAGGGAAAGCAGATTTGCTATGCTAAAAACATACTTGTAATTCATGTATAAATAAATTGTACACTAAAGAATTCAACGAATCGTACTGAAAATACCCGTACACATCTGTTATAATTAATATACTCTATTCACTTCACGATATTTCAGATGTAGCAACAATTGTACCTACCGTTGAGACAACCCGATTAAAGGCAGCGCTTAATTTCCCGTAGTATCCGTCAAGCGAGGCCGTTCCGTACTTTGGGTCATTACGGCACCTGTAATCAAGTTTTTACCGTTCATTATTTGCTAGGAACATTCGATCCCCTATGAGATTTTTGAGGCTATTTTTTTATGTTAGAAACAACTCCTGAATTCATCCGCTCGATACTGAGTAGATTACAGCTGCCACAATTACGCTTTAGGCCGTCCTGAGCATTTTACGTGTACACAACTAATCTGTATATAAGGACGCGTTGCACTTCAAATAACTTTCAAACTTGTAAAAATGTTCCAATTTCGTCTATTTTTAGGGCTGCACAAAAAGTCACTGTTGTTTATCCTCCATTGACGTAATTCAAGTAATAAACATTCTTGGACTGTTCTTGATTTTCGTTATGTTACGGAGCAGTCATTCATTGAAATTACTTTCAAAAACTACCTCGAGTTCTTCTCAGTTAAGAAGTAAAATCGAAAGCTTACCGTCAATTTCCGCACAAGTGAGTCTATCCTGAACTTTTATTACCTAACAATGAAGTGCAGCTGAGGTGTGGTCACCGTTCCAACGTCCTGAACCATGCATGAGGCAACGCTCCCAGCGCCATCAATTACAGCCTGCAATAAGCCGGGAGAGCTCTTTCGGGTATCGCAGCCTACAACCTAAACACAAAAAAGCGTACTGCTACAGACAAAGGAACGTAATTGCTCAAATCAGTAGACAGCGTTAGATACTGTACTTCCGATTAAGTAAAAGCATGCATGAATTAACCTATATCTCAGTGCCCCAAAATCTGCACAAAGGACCACTTGGAGAAAACAACATCTATTTTGGAATCTATTTTGTTAGATGAAAATATTATTGACTGTAATGCTATTACTCACCACATTGGAGTATCCCTCAGGAATTGCAAGTTCAGTAACAATTTTCTCCAGTTTCTCAAGGAGTTCGTTATCAGCCGCATTGACAACCTCTTAAACAAGAACATCAAAGACATTTCGTTGAAATCTACTTATTACAAACCCGCCACCAAACTCAAGCTTGATAGCCACATCGACCCCACGTATCATTGTACAATCAACACTGCAGTGTATACGTACTAAGCCAGCTTTAGAGATTTAAACTACGATATATATAATACATGAGTATAATCATTACCGCCAGCGGAAGCAGGCCCGCTGCATCTGCGCTGCAGGTAATAACTTCATTATATAGAAACTACGAATAGTTTAAAAACACGTCATTTCCATTTGTCCTATCGATGCAGAACAGATGCTACCACACAGATAAACCGGCAAACTCAAATCATTGCTACCAGTTGTACGAGCTTCCCAGCTGATTTCCATCATCTCCCCTAATGGGTCAATCAGTTTGGCTCCATTGTCACATTCGGGATTATGCGATGCTGTAACCTGAAAGTGAGCATTGCATTAGAATGTCCCATACAGTTGCTCGTCAGACATTTCTCCATGCAGTAATGTGTTCCTTTTTTTTTTCGAAACAGTATTGTACTGCGTATAGGCTAGATATATTGTTTTTAGGTAATTTTTAATGAACTTCAAACAAATAGTGGAAAGATGTTCGACCAAAAATCGATCAGACAGGAAATAAGGTTATCGTGACAAAAGAACAGCAAAATCACTATGTCGCTATTTTGCTTTGTTGCATTGTTAATGTAAATGTGATTTATGCTATTAGAGACAAAGTGACCAGCTTTATTGAAGTCGTACCATGCATCCGATAGTGGCACCACCCACGGAACGCGAACGAAGTGCTGCGATTACTCCAAGCCGAAACATCGCCCCAGAAAGCGTGTCTGCCCTAAACGAGCCAAAAAAAATATTTAAATACGAGTTGTACTTTGTGCAGTCTCGTTCAAAAGTTTACTTGATACTTTCCCCACCTTTGCAGCATCTTTCAAACTGACTGTGGCAATTAAAACTGAATCGTGTAACACAAATGTCTCACTCAGGTCCATGAACTCAATTCTCCAGCAAGATAACTTGTAACCAATCGAACTGTCATTAGTTAATTAGAATCTTGCAAGTTATTTTGCACCCATTCGGCTAAAAAAACGTATCTAAGTATTGTTCGTTGCTTTTTGTTAATTATGGTTATGGTAAATGAATATTTCTCAACTACGTTTTTCAGAACGTTCAAGAACTTGCTTTTCTACAAAGGGGTCTCATATAAGGCCTATAACATTATTTGTCGATTGACTAGCAGTGTTCGTATGTTGTACTTCAGCACGGTTGTACATGCTTCTAAAAAAAAAAAGATACTGTATTCAGTAAAAGACTTACATGTCTTTTGAGTAATTGCAAGTAATTCTGTTCTAAATATAAATCATCCTTTAAGAAGAATAACGGAGGTTCGTCTCAAAGCAGAAATTAGAAGTCAGGGTTAGCTTGGATAGATAGCACAACTAACACTTCCCACCCAAACAGTGGATGATTTACCATTGTTCTAAATATTGCCGGATTATTTTTAGATGTAACGGTTGCAAATTATTGATATATGATTTAGATAATTCACTTGTTTCTTTTGTTTCCATTACAGAGGTATTTGGCTAACTCTAGTTTAACTATATTCCATCATACAATATTTTTTCGAAGCCTAGGTGCTATTGAAACGAGAAGCAAGGCGCCACTCTGGGTTTCACATACGCAGCGATAATTGCAGCTGATATTGTACCACCGATAGAAATAGATTGAATTCTAATCAATTCTTATCAAGTTCCAATACGCTTTCATTGATACCATTGCTTAGTAATTCACGTTTCTTTTAGCACACGTTTGTATTTGTTGCGCCTGAAATAGCGAGCAAACACATCGCATCAATAATTTCCTTTCAGATTAGGATTAGAAGAGCTGCTTGCTAGCAGATAATTCGCAATAGGCCAAAGGTAACATAGACGCACAAACACACATTATTTTATTAGCGTTTAAAACCGGATTAAAAACAACGTTGTCACCTTAAAACTGTCTGATCAAAATTGAGGCGAAATGTACACTTTTAGCATGGCACCGTGTTCAGGAAATGTAAGAATTAAAAAATGGCTTAAAAGGTCATACGCAGGAATGAGGATGGTGGTGGCCATTATCATGTAGAGGTTACCGTCTTATACAGAGTCTAATATCACAACTTCATAGTACGACACAGCATATAATAACTATTAATTGAAATGCAGAACGTTCGCTTGATAGGTCGATTTTACCTTCTATGTGCTCTGTTGAAATATGTCAAGGACAAGAGTATCTCAATCTTACGGCACTTACATCGCGGAAGGCGGGTCGCTCAAAATACTTAGCAGAATGCCGTTATTATATCCAACAAGGATAAAGTAATCAGCTTACTTTATCTTACCCCTGATAGGAGCATCGTTTAATCTATAGCTGAATTATTTATTTTGTAACATTGGCTATTTATTCTCCACTTTTATTTATACTTTCCTAAAGTAGATTTAGGCTCATATAATGCTACATATACTTTCTAGAGGCAAACGACGAAAAATAGGAACTAGTTTGCAATTATGTTACCCGATTTGCCAATACAGGTTACTAGTTAACTAATTAATTTCAATAGGTCACCTGAAAGCGCGTAATTTGTAAAATAACTTAGGTATAGAATCGATACTCTAAAACTAATAGATCACAATGGCCTTATTTTTTGTATTATTCTGCAGAACGAACGAAACAAGGGACGTATTTGTGTAACATCACTAAAGCTTCATCGAAAATGGTGTGGCTGATTTTTCCTGTTTCCCAGTTGTTTAATATCGGGTCGGGATGAACGGCCTGGCGAACGGTAACAACAAAACGGGGCACCGACGTTGTTCTATTGAAAGTCCACACAAACTGCGCATTCAGTGAACAATACATCTGCGAATACACTGACAGATGTTTCTATCATTGAGAGAAAGTATAAGTGAAATATTTGAAATAACAGTGCGATCATTTCCGAAGAAACTATTGATACGCTCATGAACCCTTATGTCTGCTATAGAAGAAACAAAACCTTATGGCACAAGCCTTACGACCTGTGTCAAAATCAAGCAATTTGCACATGTCCATCGATATTATCCTTCCTCGAATGTATGCAACGATCAAATTCAAACGTCTGTTACTTTTGACACACAGATACTCAAAATCACATTGGTAACCTATTCGAAAGGTTTTGTTCACTAAAAAATGAGAGAAAAATGATACCTGACAAATGGCCTTATCTGAATTGTTTTTCCTCGGAAAATACAAAAACTAACAATAGTTCGCCCTCCTTCATGTCCAAATGTTACAAAGTTTTCATCTATTTGCGTAAAAGTCAAATGGCATTCGTTACATTTAAGGTGATGAGTGACCACTAAAGTTCGTGTCTATTGCTCATTAACATTAAATATAAACGTAATTTATTTTCAGCAAGCTAATTAATAGTTCCTTAATAAATAGCAAGATAATACTAGTAGAAGTAGCTATAATTGGCTTGTAGCAAAATTAGTTTAAAAAGCTTGAACTGCGGTGCCCTCTCAGTCACCGAATCATGGAAAACTAAAAATATGCTATATTTCTGAAAACCAGAGATATATCACAAAGGCTGTAAAAATAAATATATTGCTTTTGCAGATACACTATTACTAGATAACTTTAATTTTACTAGTAATAATAATTTAATGTTTAGTCAATTAAAGAACATGTATCGATTAGCAATTGTTGTTATCACACATTAGAATCAGCCAAGTGAATGCCCTTATACATTTTAGCATATACATACGAAGCGTTGCAATATTCCACTGTACTCCATACATTGCCCCTTCAAGTACCGGCAACAACTACGACCTCTCTATCAGTCTCATTCGTTGATCGGTTTGAGTAAGCAGCGCGTAACGTCCATTGTTGCAAACATTTATTTAGAAATTTTATTTAGGAAACTTATCCGAACGCATGATTCGTATAGTGATAACAATAGTGCCATTATGCTTACTTAATTCCTAGAATCTCGCGGGCTTTATAACTAACATGATATTTTTTCAGAGCATAAGTAGATTGGCCCTTAAACAATTCGGGTGCCTAAAATAGATCCTTCACGCACGACGACCCACATTAGTTGTAGAGACTTATCAGCTCTGACGGCATGAAATTCATGAATTTTCAAAAAGCCCGCCCTCGATATACGATTTTTGTGTGAATGGTTCGCAACGTGTAACAATAGTCGGGCCACAAAAACATTTTTCGGCGAACTAAATGTACAAAGATGATGTAGCAGAACTCTCTAGTCGAAGACTTTGAACTACTAAGAAACTTTGAAGAAGTTATTTGTGTTGCCGTAGAACGATCACATCAAGACAAATTCAGTTTGTTTACATAACCGGCGCATTTATTGAGTTTGTTTGAATGCTCTATGCAGAAAACATGTGAGAGTTCTACATGAATTGAGCTGACGCCATTTTGACAATCGGTCATGCTTACTTGGTTCGAATGCCTGAGGTCCCGTAGGCGAATTGTATGCCGGTCAATCGCGGGTATTTTGCACTATTAAGTTTAAGTGTTGTAGCAAAAGACGACATTGTTTCGCGTTTTAGTGGCTGATTCACAGTAAAACAAAGTCCTATATAATTTCACAAATCAGCTGTTTCGCACTTTCAATGTTTTATTGGTAACGACGAATCGACCACTGTATCCTCGAGTAATGTCGGCTGAGTGCAGGTCGCCTTCGGTAATCGACGCGATCCAACAACTTGCACTAGAGGGATTACAGAAGATCAATCTAGTAACTTTGCGATAAGAAGTAATAACGTTGCACAAAAGGCCGTTGGGGAGAGAGCACGTTCTGTTGGCTGAGAGAGGCTGGTGCGGGGGACGTGTCAAATTTTGAATTTGGGCGCCAAGAGCAACCCGTAGGACTGAAATTGAAAAAAATCGCATGGAAATATGTGCATTTCACCCTGATGAAAATTATTTTGGAGAGCTCTAGTTGCTCATAGAAAAACAGGATCATGAAAAAACTAGTCAAAACGATACCTAAAAGAAGAATTATTTGAGCAACACAAGCTTACAGGCGCCACACAGACGTAACAAAGAACGAGCCATCGGCCCGATAGAATTTATAAAAGACTAAATGAACAAATATGGACTAAAAGGGTCCGTTATTTATGTTCGTATAAAATCAATTAGGAATAACTTATTACGAATATTCTTCTGTTCAGAAAGAGCTGAAGTTTAACAACAGGTTGTCCAACTCCAAAAATGGTTGCAAAGGGTCTCGGGGATTCAAGTCGATCAGTAAATACAGAGTCACGTAAGAATCAAAATGAACGACCTTGTTGAGCTGGATTACATGTTGAGTCAGCTCTGTGGCCTGCAATAAAACAGATTTTTCATGTTAAATACAGTCAGAGCAGGGGATTCTTTTTACGTTTCTGTTACAGGTTGGTGTAGACGACACGTGAAAGCGCTCATCTGTATGGGAAACCTAACAGGCGTTTTCTGTAAACGGTGAGCCAACATCTTGGCTACTTCTTGTCATATTATTTTACACCCAAATGTATTCAAACTAAAAGCCCAATTAGAAGAGGACAAAATCTTTAGATTTAATAATATAAACTCTATTGTTAAATTATACTGTTAGAAAAGGTCATAACAAGCCTGTTTCAGTTCGGCCGTGCCCCTATGGACTCAGACCTATACGAGCACAGCGTGAAGACCCTCTTTGAAAATGATAATGTATGACGAGGCAGCACCTGCTCTTAGGCCTAATTCCAGCTATGGTGTACATATCTATGGCAATTTAACAAATTTTCATTTGACAATCGACTTGACTAAGTGTGGTAAATTTGCAATTCGTGGACAGTGTTGCAAGGTGAACCTCAAATTTAACTAAATAAAATTTTAAATCTTTAAAATGCATAAAGAAGCTTACCCACTATTCTTGGCTAGTAGTGGCCTTCGAAACGTTACATGTAAAATCATTCGTCTCTGTCAGAGGCAAAGACTCGTGCTTGAACTTTCTATCGCCCTCGTGGAAGTCTGATACAATGTCACCGCTCCCTGTCAGTAGAAGGCAAGAGAAAAGATCTAGGTTTAACTATTTGTCTGACTCAATTTTTGCTATCTGAATGGCTTGATTCTTTAACAAATTACCCACAATAAAGTCGTTTGTGTTACTAATCCTCATATTCAAGGGCATCGTAAGGTAAAAGGTATGGTCAGAGATTTCTATGTTTGATGCTAAGCTAGTATAACGGGTTAGCTTATAAACGGCATATATAAGCAGTACCTCTGAGTTGCCATTTTGTTGTAAGGAGACCATCTAGGCCAACCGGACCACGCGCGTGAATACGTCCAGTCGAGATACCCACCTAAGAAGCAGTTATTATCTTTGATGACTTCTCTACAAGTTTAATTTCGTGCATTTTAATTGTAATGTGTTTTACTACTTAAATCTACCCTAATAGCTCATTTTATTTTTAAGAGATATTGTTTTTACTAAAGTTACTGGGTTTCCGTGTTCGCTCTAGATGATTTGGATAGAACTTTACGTTTGAGCAGCGTTCGAATATACATATATATTTCTTATGTGCACTGCTAGCAACAACGAATTTTCTCATGAATCCCAGCCACCATTATATAACATATTTGCCTGCTAATTTTAGGAAAACGCTGTGGTCTAGGTTCGAACCTGGGCATAGAACGACAGACTTCGTTTCGCGCTGGCAGGAGCCAGCCATCTGACGGAGTGCTTAACGGCGATACCGGACGTGAAACTCGAAACACATCTACCCTTACGAAAATAACTGAACTAATAAGCTCTTCTAGTAGCTGGCAAAAGTCCTAGTGCCATTAAAAGTTGTATGTACGGAAAACAAATGTACCTCGGCTCCAAGACCGAATCGGTATCCATCGGCGAAACGAGTGGATGCATTGCGGAAGACGCAAGCTGAATCTACAGAACTCAAGAATTTTTCGGCTGTTTCGTCTACAAGGAAAAAAAGATAGATTATATATTACAAATGAGATTCAGCTTTTAGATTCAGGCATTAAAACAAAGTTCTCTTTTAATTATACTTTATACTGAATCAGTCCTAGTCTGAACCGTGTGGTAGGTCGTCCAAAGCGAGGGGCACCAAAACCCACAAAGGGTTTTATAAACTGTGAAGTACTATAGGCCACGTTTCGTTCCATCGGTTATTAGTTACCCAGTTTATTGCACTAGTGAAACAGGGCCTCGAAATCTTAACGCCCCTACCAACGAACAAATGTGCAAGATGGACTGGTGGAAGCTGCAGTGATCACAGTTACAGCCACTACCATCCAAGATACTCTTGGATTGCCCCAACTAATGCGGATCGGGCGGAGCACTCAGGTAATCGCTCTATACAGGATATGTATTAATTAGATAAGCCACTGAATTTTCCAGTTTCTCAGTAGACCTTATAGTAACTTTTCGAACGATTTTCACCGCAGTGAACGAAATCAGACTTGATTGACGTTGAGGGGAAGTACTCGAATGTAGTCTGTTTCTTATCCGTACCATTGTGAAAGTCTTGAAGAAACCAAACGAACATTGTTACTTACGATTTTCGGTGACGATGGCGTCTGTGTGTCCACTGCCAAATGCATTAATATGATCAATGGCCGCTTCCACACTGTCGACTACTTCGAGCGCGCATTCGAGTCTCGAATATTCGACTTTTAGTGAACGAACCTCAGGGGGACCGAATGTCAGTGTGTGGGATAAACGAGGTCCAGCATTTAGTAAAACCTATAATTACCGAACGAAAAATGCGTAATAAAATCATTTGAGGTCTATATTTCTTTTTCTTTTTATCGCAATTTCTCTAAACGTAATTTTTGACATGGCTTTCAGTAGCCCTGTGAGGTTCAAATGTTACTTTAAAAACATCTGTACTCAAACTACAATACAATCCATTCACAGGCATTTAATATACGTAGTTAAACGATGACTGAAGTTATGAACAGTTTCCTTTCCGGCACTAAAAATACAATTGAATATTCGCGATTCGGTCGAATGACCTATGCAGTGAAACTCTAACCTTTAACAGCTAGAATATCTTTATTGAAATAGGCAAAATACAAGCGTGAAGTGCATGCGTGACAACGTTAAACAAACCTCTGATTATCATTTTGTATATGGACCGAATCCATAATATGTCCCCTACCGGTTGTATTTAGCTATCCATAGCATGATTTGCTATAATAAGATATAGCAGTGGGTATTTGCAAACAAGGGAGACATTTGTAGAACATTGGAGTGTTTAATGTCATTGTGACTTTTAATGGTTTGTGGGCAGAGATCCTGGATTACGATTTTTTAATGCGCGCATTATGATGCTATGCATTTATTATTTAGCACAGCGCGCAAAAGAATACGTACAACTAACATATACTTTCATCTGGACAAAAATTCTTGAACTGAACAGTTTACTAGTTGTGGGTCATCATCACTATCGGTCACTGGCTGACCCAGAAATTTTATCGAATGAGTCATCAAATAGTCAATACGCATGTCGGTTGAGCTGGCCAGAACAGCGCACTCACGTTATCTTTTTTGAGAATTGTGCACATGTTGCTGAAAAATTCAGAGTTGATGAGATCTCGATGTATAAGAAGCGTTTCCATCGAATTGCAGGCTGCAGGATAGTCACATTTAGAATCTCGGACTGCAATCAAAGGCGAATTTAAGAAGCTTTAGAATACAGCAGGCCTCCTTTTCAACGATTAGCTAGGCACTGAGGATGCGGATCCCCTGTGCTCAAGAGAACTCTTGCAGGGTCCTACTCTTGTTTTATTGTTAGCATACTCCTGTGATGCACGCACGACTAAAATATTAGTAACTTAGTCATAATAACATAACAAACTGACCGATTTGATATGCTTGGCGAAGATCTGCATCCTTATCAACATAAACGTGACACACGCCTTCAGAGTGGCCAAGCACTGGTATGCCTTTGGCTCGTGCCTGTATTGAGCGGACCAGATCAGAGGAACCTCGAGGAATGATCAGATCAATATATTGTTCCATCTGAAGATTCCACATTTTGCGACCGTTAATGTCGTGCAAAACAAACTATTATGGCTCATTTTAGCGCAAACTAGCGTTTCAGCGTTGTTCTACCGTGTAGTTCTTTGAGGCAGACTATGATCATTTGTGCAGTTTACTACTTTCGTCACCGTGGTGAGCTTCACTGTATTTATAGCTGAGATCAATCAGTAATATGTAGACGATTCTATTAATGGATATTCGTACTTACGTGAAGTAATTCATCAACATCCTCTCGCTCGGATACAAGTGCAACGGCGCCCTGAGCAGATATCGAAGCTAAAGCCTCTTGAACTAAGACGAAAAGGGCACGATTGGAATTAAGTGCTTCCTTGCCACCTTTCAATAACAGGCCATTTCCTGTGGCTATGGCTAACGAGGCAATCTGGAATGAGTTACGCGATTTTGAGTCAAAACCAGAAGCCAACTTTGAGAACGCAGAGGAAATTATGGTGATGTTAGTTACGGCTGAGTATGCGAATGGCTTCTCTCTTGATATAAAGTGTGGCTAGTTTCAAAGCGGAAATTGACTAATAGCATAATAATATTTGGTTGCTGAAAATGTATAGACCCCTTTGAGTAAAAATTAAAGCAAATATATTTTATAAATTGTAATGCGACTGAACTAAATGCTTTTTGCCATTTTGATGGATTGATTTCTGTTGTCCATCTTCTGCTAAGGCCATAGTTCCACAGTTGCAAAGCCTCACAACTATGGTTCCTGGGCGAAAAATTGTGACCAGTGATTTTTGCATTCTTCTTTGTCACCATTGAGTTAACAGCATTAAGTATCTTCTGTAGAAACCGAATTAGATGATGGCCTAAGGGTAATGGTATGTAATTGGACAGCGTCTTGGTAAAACACCTTTTCTGTTCACAAATCCTGGTCTATTTTTTCAGGTGGCTTGCTGTAATATTGCTAGCTTTTGACGCTAAAGGTTCGAGTCAATCGCCATGTGGCAGCAACTTATAAGCCATAATTGCTATCCAATCCCAACAAACATATGCCGGCATCAGTCTGAACTTTGCCACGGATTGTGAAGCACATCTTTTTTATTCGCACATTATTATCATTTTTAATCACACGTGACCGACCGCTCTAGAATAGTTCGATCCTATTACGTTTTTTAGAATTTCACAGATAAAAATACGGTCGAGTCAATCGGTCGATTGCGTCAATTCGGGTAGCACCTTTCTTTCGTAATCGGCTTTAGTTCCTCGACGGTTTCACGACCACTCATGCCGTGTTGGTCTTGCTCATGGCGTCCATTTGTTTATAAGCCTGGACAGCGTTTGCGCCTTTTGCGTAACAAAAATAGTAAAAACATTACGAATTTTTCGAAAATGTGTCACTTTTCTTCGATCCGCTCTACTGTCAAAGTAATTTCCGCGATTTTAGCACTATCGCCAAGTTTCAGCTTTTAAATCCTACGAAGGCGATACATGACTTTAAAGTCATCTAGCTAGAAAAATGGTCAGTTTTTTTTTCTACACCCCTATATAAAAGTTCCAAACAAAATATTGCTAAGCTTACCTGGGGAAGACAGTCAGGTCGGGACTCAAAAATAACTAGAAGAACCCCGATAGGGACAGTGATTTGTTGAAGCTCAAGTCCATCAGCTAACAGGGTACGTCGAAGAGTCTGGTATAACAATGTAAAAATAGGAACCGTTACACGTACGCTAGGGCGTCTCTTCACCCATTTCGCAAACCATAACCGCAAGAAGTAGCAATCGAAAATCTTGCGGAAGAATACGCAAGGCACTTAACGGCCTTTAAAGGTCTCACGAGAAAGTTGCATGCCTACAAAAATTAAGTATAACTGGATTCAATTAGTATTCAGGATTGAATCGACGAATTCGGCAATTTCTTATTTGCGCCGCAGTTTTTTTTTGCGATGAGAGTGTCGTTTACATCGTCTAGAAGAATGATAGTTCCACCTGAATACGATTGAATCACGTTGAAAGTACGCATTGATTTCAAGCGGTTTTGGCAAAGTCAAGTGGCACTAACCTTTCCTAGAATACCTTTTTCTTCGCATTGAATCGCGATCGACCGCAGGCCGTCAGCAAGGTTTTCTAACTTCGAGAGGGTCAGAACTGAAGACAACGCTTTGTTAGGCATATTAGCCATATTCCAGTTACATGATTATATTTGCCTCACGATCATTTTGACGTCACAAGGCCACGAGCGAAACTTTTTGCTTAATGAGGCAGTTGAAGAACTACCTCATTAGGCAAAAAGTTTGTTAAAAATTAAAAGTTTGCCTGGTATACACAGATACGTACGTGTATCACTTGATATAGCGCACCTAACAATAACCGGTGGTTCCATTGATTGGGTTTGCCTCAATTTGATTACATTTTTGAGCTTAGATTTTGCAGATCAAACGCTAAATCGTTACTACAAATGTTTATCACTATTTTGTATTTCTATTCTGTTTAGCTAAATTTCACATTATTCATTCGTCGTCCCCCATAAAAATCCCATTCAGTCTATCATCGTATACCGAGTCTGCTGAGAAGCGACTTTTCCAGCCCCGACGATTCGGCCTCCCGGATGTCCTTTACGTTAGCACAAATCACCTCATCCGCTCGCTCCACAAGAAGGTCAGCAAGTCGACGAATCACAGCTCCGCGTTGGCGGCCCGACAGAGCCTCGAGCGTCCCAGAATCTGTAACGGGTTAACTAGCTCGCATCCTTAATTTCATATATTCCCAGATCTGAATGGGGTGGACTGCCGCGCCGATCGCGAGCGATAAGTTACATATCCGCTTCATGGACGAGACTACATAAATAAAACTGTTTACCTCAATTTTGCTAGCACGTGCCCACATTGCGTTTGATTCATATTACACACGTAAAGGCAAGCATTATACATAATTTATTCTGTTTTTAAGGGGAGTGGTAAGATTTGTTTTTGTAAAGACATCGGGTATGTTTTCGTAAATTGGTTAGTTAATGATTATATATTCATCAGTAGAATTGATTGTATCCGAGTAAATGTTTCAACCCTAACAAGAGCATCTTTGAAAAAAGCTTTTTTTTCGTGACGATATTTTACAAAACTTATAGCAGAGCGGTAGACCGTATTAGGTCTAAATGTACGGTGTTGTTCGTTCTTTCTGTAACCCATATCGTCCCCTCAATAGTACATCATGTCCATGTGTTTTTGGATTGCCAATCTCACGTAATTGTCTCTGACCTTTTTTGGCGTTTGCGGCCAGCGACTCAACGGAGAACACTTTAGTTTGATGGTTAGTGAAGAAAGTGCCGACCTTCTTCCCACCTACAATACGAGAGATTGCATCTTCTTGGAAGCCATTACATATTACCACCGAGACGCCTGCAGACAATTAGTAGAAAATCACTGGCTTAAGTCATTCGTTCTGAGCAAGGCCAGTCGCAGATTCAAAGCTCAGTCCGAGATTATTCATTAATTTTAACAAATCGTAGAAACTGAAAGTAGTTTTAATTGCATTGAACAACCTGTACACGTAGTATTCCAGATTATTTATAGAAATTAGCAGATGACGAACCTAATAATAATGCATTGCGTCTCACCTCTTTCGAGCGCCCACAAAGCAGCAGAAATCTTACTTTCCATACCACCCATGCCAACCTTTGATTTTTCGCCGTAAACAACACTTTCACTGTAGAGTGGCGAGTAAGTATAGAGAAGCTTAGAACCATCCTGACCTGCAAAAACAGTACAAAATTAGTAGTGCCATGCATTAAGTTGTTCTTATTTGAGCTAAAATAAACTTTTTAAGTTCCCTTATGGACTTGGCCTATAGTTGACTAAATATCAAACTAATTTGGCGTCATCGTTTCGACCTTAGTTAATCGTGATTAGCAGTTGTTTCATCGTGTTGACAATCCTATGTAACCTTCAAAAAAAAAACTCCTGCTTTACTAGTTCATATTTATTATCGTAATTTTGGACCATCTCGGCCCATAAGGCGAATACGCTCTGGTCTACCTAAGGTGTCCACCTAAACACTAGCATTGAATTTTCTATCAAATAGAATGAGTGATCGATAACTTGAGGAAACAAACCTGAGCGAAGTTGATGAGGCCGTCGGATTGTCTAAATCTCTTGATGTTTATGTCGAACTGAATATTATTGAAACGCCGTCTCGGCGACAAAGATCTAAAAACGTACCTACCTAATTTTAGTAAAGGCTAGGAGTAAATTCAATTACATTTTCCACAACTCGGAGTATTTTTTCAAAAGCAGGTAGAAGTTGAAGAAGGCCGGAGAGGATTAAAGTACCGTTACATATATCTCACCTGGCGGTTGCGTATAAAGGCCATCAACGTTACTCATTATAACCATGAGATCAGCGTCGGCTTCCACTGCCAAATGGGCCGCTAAGGAGTCATTATCGGTGATCGGCTGGACATGCGGACTATACAACGAATACGCAAAACACATGTAAATCTCGTACCTGCTCTTTGTGCAAACATGGGGGGCTCTTTAAAGGAAAAACTATAGTCTTCGAATAACTAGTCTGACTTTACTGCCTTATAGTCGATACTGCAGAAGACGCACACAATAAGTGAAAAGTGGAAAATAGACTAAGGCTAGTGGTAACAGGATATGGAATCATCTTAAAGTTCTCACTTGAGCTCCCCTTCGTCATAAAGCGCTGTTGCTGAAGATACGGCATCGTTCGTGTTAATAATCGGCAAAATGTTCAGCGACAGGAGCTCAAGAAGAATTTGACGGAGCCAGTGACGCGACTCGGGATTGTAGAAATCTGGTTTCGTTACCAGAACCTGGATTAAAACAACCGGGTAAGTATCATCAGTTAATCGAAGGGATTTATGTCCTATTGGGTTCTGAGGATCTAACGCTGTTAGACTGTCTGATACAAAAAGAAGTTTCACAAAAATACATTCATTTGAACACCCGAAATTACCTGGGCAATGTTGACGCCATATTGATTAAACATGGCGTCGTATAAAGCCATTAGGCCGCTTTGGCCAACAGCTGCGCTGCAGTCATCCCACGCCGATGATCGCCGCCAGTTGTCAAGAAACGCATTCCACATGAGTGCAATGAGAAACAATGGATCATGTTATTGGATTTTAGCACATTGTAAAACAGGCAATATTATTATTCAGGTCGATATGCACTGTAAAAAGTGGTTTATTTCGGTATATTTTACAAAAAATAATTACATTTCTGATATCTACCTGGTTCCGTAGGAGCTTTTCTTTGTTTTCGCGGGAATAGCTGAATCTCTAGCAGATAGAGTCTCCCTCATTGACATTGAGAGACGCAGCTCTTTGGATAACTTTAATTTGCCGAAAGCCACAGCTCCTGAGGTGACAACCAACAACTCCTATTTCATACGAAAGACGGAAAGAAATCTCAAGGTACTACTTTAAGCATAGCATTATGATTTTACTTGCTGCCCACTGTACAGTCACTCCAATCATCAAGCACTCCATTTAACATCCGAAGTAAGTTTAAGAGTGTTATATACTGTAACTTAATAATGACTTTGCTAATTTCGATATCAAAATAAAACCACTTTAAATGATAACTTGTGAGTTGATCTTCGATCATTTTATACATTTGTGCACCTTTCCATTATTGTGTAGCTGAGAGATCTGCTCGACGATCGAAGCGACCCTTCCAAGAGCCAAACCACAGCCATCCTCGCGAGTTAACACCGCACTTCCCAATTTGACCACCACTCGTTTCGAGTTTACCAAGTCACTCCTGTATTGTATGTCTATTTTCTGTTAGTATTACTAACTAATACATTGAAGAGAAGGTATTGCCAAAAAAATATCAAGGATAAACCAAAATATAGCAATATAAAGTATTATATTTCCGCTTATGTTCTCTGTTATCCCAACTAGAGTCTGTGGAATAAGCTATTCTTCGTTAACAGAGGTCAAGAAAGTTCCATTTACAAGACCTGTACAAGTAGGGCTGTCTAGCAGATGTGTTGATTAGTTGTAGCTCTCTGTTGAGCTTTCCTCGTTTGCTCGCAAGACCTTTGCCAGACTGGATCTTTCGAATGGCCCATCGATATAATTCTACTCCTTTGAATCGTCCAGCAATTGCAATCCCGCTTTGTACTCGGGCTCGCGTTTCGCCGACGTAACGCAGCATTTTAATTCACGTCGCCGCGATTGACTCAGTAGAACCAGCGAAGTGTCCTGATTGGAAAAGAGCATGTTCCTCTAATAAAGGGAAGAAGGTGTAATCTAGGCTCCCTGGTAACTGACATATAGATAATTTTCCATTCACTTGTTAATTCAAAGTAGATATAAATATACTATGCTCAGCATTAATCTGGGTGTACTACCGAAGTTCTCCTACAATGCATCACTGTACTATATATGAGTATATAGAAATGACTGTGGACGCTACACTTATGCTACAAAATATAGCCCAAGAATTATCGTTTCGAATTTTACGCCCGGTGCAACCATCACGTATTGAGTCAGCCAGCTGGGTTCCAAGCATGGAAGAACGTGTACCATACCTGGTTTCCAACCTAGATTACCACGTATTTCTAAGCTTAGCAGATAATCACCCTACCACCGCATCATCACATAGGTACATAATCAGGTTTTCCCCATATGAATCGTCCTGTATTTAAATGCAAGTATGAGTAAATGCAGGCACAATTAGGTCGATGATGTTTTTTGTTGGCCACGCATTGACCCAATGAAGCGCTCTGAGTAATTTCTAACTGCATAATGATCCTCTAGTTGCGATCTGGATGTTTAGCCCATTGACCTCTCTTGAAATATTTCCACAAATACTGAGCTTACGTAACATTTTGACACTACTTGAACGGCATTCTATTTTTGAAGAGGTATCTTCGCGGCGTAGGGTAAGATTACTTCTGGCTCAATCTTCCTCAAACAAAGATAGAATGCATGAAATGAACGTAGGCGTTTTATCTTTTCGTCGGCTCACCCGGTGACTGACCCACTTGCAACTTTCCGAACGGACGACGCACTGCCAGTAGCCTGCCGCTTTCCGGTCGATTGGCTTTATGATGTGTCGCACACCTGAGAATGATAAAAGCGGACTTTTCCCCGCTTTTCCCTCGTTCCACTAATGCAAGAACAACAGGGCAGCAGGGACGCATACGCACACTGCAAATACAGACGAGTGTAGAAACGAGCGCTTGATGTATTAAGAAAATAGAACATTTTAACGTAGTCAGACAAATCAGTTATTCCATTGTGTCGTACGATCGACATAATCTCGTCAGTGCAGGGTGCACGAGCCGCAGTATCAACCGTTTCTATATGCACTTCATGTTAAATTGATCAAATATCGTGTCTCGAAAAAAAGAAGCGGTTAAATTTGCAAGATGCACCCGCCTTTACTGGACACCGCCCGAAGATAAAGGCTACTCAAAGACAGAACCTTGAATAGATTTTATGGGTTTTCTATGCGTATTGATATACCAGCAATTCACCTATCATCCCTTGGGGACAACATTGCATACGAATACATACTCGCATGGTCGAACGAAATCCGGCCTACAGTGTTTCTATTGTTTACTGCACTATAAGAAGTTTGTAGGGTGATTATGCTTTATTTTGCCTCTCTCTGTAGTTATACTAGCTATGCTTTTAAATTTCTTAGTACTTTAGCAGTGTGACAAACCAATGCATGTTTCAGTAGCAGAAATAACATACACGATTTGTAATGTCATAAGTCCGTACTGGACTACGACTTTGATTTCATATAATCTAATAATAAAGTAGCATAAAATAATTATATACAGGCTCCTATCAATTTATTTTGGATCGCTTTTAATGGCCGTTCATGCTAGCATAGTATATAAAGGCCGGTACGATATCGGCCTAACCGGTCCCGGATGCAACACTCGAAACTCTTGGTTTTTAAGCATAATAAGGGTATAACAACCCTTATGAGCTATGCTGCTGGCTATATTACTGCTGTTTCTGCAATAAATTATTTATTTAATGTCTCGATGTATCTATACAAATTAGAAAAATGTTTTCGTGCACCATTCTCTGGTGCTGGAGCTGCCCAAGTAGAAATTGGTCTAGAAAGGCCTAAAGTAAAGCAAACAATAACCGTTTATCCACGGATAGATATTGCTACGCGCATAATACGCAGAGTCGTATCTACGTAGTGTACACGGTGTAGACAAAGTCATCGCCGAAAAGTGGGCCTCCAGTAAGTGGATTCAAAAGAATATGCCGGTTGCTAGACTGGAAGTATGGAGACTTGGCCATGGCAGGATAGCCTCAAGACATTTTCTCGATGCGAATTTTGGAAGCCATGAAAGCTATGTTATAAAACTATATATGATTTGTCCTCTATTACCTAGCTTGACTTGACGCAATTAATTGTTGCTATGCACGCAGATATTTCCGTGACACAGAATGCACACGCAGAGGGCAATCAACTTCTTCTCCAAGTATCTTAGACTTTTAGGCACTCGATCACAAACATCATCCAAACTAAACTGACACAGTCTTTCACATGAGGTGGAAACTAGATTTACCTATGATAGATTACAGCTTCTATTAATAAAGTCCATTTCTCTCGTGTTTATTGAAACTTCTTCAAAAGGGCAATGTAAAAAGCAACTTACGTCTGAGGTGCAACAACTCCTTTTTGAACTTACCACTTCCCAGTGTAAACTTAGCAATCAACCTTCAATCCAGCACGAAGTGGTGTTCTGTTCTTTATAGAGCTTAACTCGCAGGAAGTCCTCGCAGGTCTCCCTATTAAAAAGTTTTGCGTCATCCCATACCCCTCGTCTTATTTAACGCCTTCTATTCTAATATAGGCAACATACCCGCCTCTAGAGACTGTTGAAAAAGTGCCTCTTTCTTTACGACGGGTTGCCTCTTTCACCTACTCTCGCGCGGGTCGTCCATATCAATGGGGGAAATTGCTTGTGTTTCCTTTAGTCCGAGGATGCCGTCGGGTTGAACTTGGTAGAACAACGAAAACTTTGCCGCAAATCCGTAGACATCTTTCCATTCTATAAGCGCTTTCTGACCTCATCGCTATTATCGACTATGTTCGCCAGAGGAAGCAGTGTGGTAACAATGACAATTGTCACATTCAAGTGTTGCTCAAAGGTTTCAAGTTGCACATAATATGAAGTTCATAGACTTGTGGCCTAACGAAAGGACCATTATGTTTGTATTTGATGTATGCCTTATGAGATGCAGTTTATAATGCCTGTTACGGAACCATTCTGTGAGTCAAATAGACTTACTCTCAGAACAGAAGTTTTCGGAGGTCCAAGACCTTGTCGGCGAATTTAGAGTTTTTAGAACTCAAACCGCAGGAATGGTCACTTGACAATTTTTGCACTTTTTTACGTGAATTTTATAATGCGTCCCACACGTAAAGACGCGTGCACCTAGATCAAATCTCAGTCAGTTATATTCCTTTCCAATAATTAATTATTTTTCATAAGAACATGTTAGAGGAATTTCGTTATGCACTGAGATGTTCTCTGCTGCGACAGTCAACGGGCAAATCACCGGATGATTTCGCGCCTTCTGCGCGATTATGTTCGCTCATTCGCAAACCTACCCGTCAGAAATACGAACCTCACCAAAACAACGTCCATACTTTAAACAAGTATATGTGTGAGGGACAGTCGAACAGCATCTGTAAACACTCAGATATAGATACAGATAAGGAGGTTATCACCTCAGCACTTTTAATCCATTTCTTGAAAATTGATTTATGTAAATTTTATGTCGATATATTAAAGGAAATAAACTGCTGCTGAAAGCAAGTTATTAATCTAGATTTGTGTGGGATATATTACATTTGGCAGTTTGGAAGTTTTTTAAGCATGGTCATCCCGGCAAACTAACATAATGCAAACATGTAGTTAGTTCTTCTTTTGTATGATTCGGTGTGTCAAATTTAGAAAAAAGCTGCAGAACAAAATTGTCCATAATTTCATATATAAAACTGCTCTCAGTTAAGTTCTAAGTTGTTTTTCTGAAGTTAATTTCAGTCTTTACTAGGCATTACCATTCTGCTCGGACAAACCTAACTTGAATAACTTGACGCAAAAGTTCATGTAATCTTCCTTTTTGAGGGGAAACCATGTCGACGCCGCCTTAAAAGATGCGTTTTAGTTGTCTTGGGTGATGTTAGACACTTTGAAAGGTAAATTATTTATTAAATTAAAGCCCAAGGTCAGCGGGGCTTGTCATAGTATTTAATATTCCCAGTTAGTTCTTTGTCTTCCTTTTGGGCAACGGTTGGTCGGGGGTCACAAGTGCTTTTATCCTCAAATGAGCCTAAACTATAACAATCGCTTTTATCCTCCTCAGACATTACTCTATCACTAAGCGCTAACCGGTGATTATTTCTCTAGTTCGCACAATTCGTAAAGGTACACGAGTACGACCCTGCGTTTTTTAGAAACCCAAGTTCCTTGTCTCGAAGTGAAATTCTTTTATCGACCAGCTGGTTGAGGATATCAATTACCTTTTTTGTTCAATCATTGCTAGTTATTACCTTGCTAGCGGCAGGGAAACCCACTACCGAAGCTTCTGTCTTATGTTTTGTGACAATTATTATATACGTTCATTTCTCTGCGCGTACCTTCTTTGCAGCTTTCCGAATTAGTCTTCAAATCCAACACTGTTGCAGTGTGCATTGTATAATTGAACCGTCTTCATGTTCATTGCGATTGTGAGACATGAAAGGACAGATTCAAACAAATGGAAGCTAATTTAAAGGACAAGGTAGCAAAGCTGTGTCCGGCACGGATCAGTATCGCAAAGCTAGTGTTTCGTTCCGATCGCTTTGTCTAAGAATAGGATTCGTTTGTGCGCGCATCGGCCCGGCCCATAGTCGCATATAGACAAAGTCTTCTTTAGCGTACCAGCGCCATCATAAGCATGAGCATTACGTTCGTCCATCTTCCCGTTCCCTTCCCATTTTGACCGCAATGCCAACAACAGCGAGATACAGTGCGTACGAAGGCAGCTGCTGGCAAGTCTGGCAGACGGTGAAGCCTGCCAGGACGGCTCCAGCACAGCAATACGAGGAGAGAAGGTGGAAAAAGCAGACACGCTGTCAGTCGGTAGGCTGCTGGTTATTATTCTGGTGACAGCAGCGGCGCCTGTCCCGCTGTTCTTACCAGCGCCACCATCAATATCTCGACTGTGTATATACGTTTATATGGTAGTGGTCGCTACTTCTGCACCGCGCTCTTTCCGCCAACAGTAACGTTACGCTAAAATGCCATGCAGTGGTCTGTTGACGGCGGCGCTGGCACTAACAGTTTGCCTGCCGGAGCGATGGCGCTGTAGGGAGTTGTCAGGCTGGATCCGTCTGCCACTGACTATGCCAGCCAGTTCGTCGGTGTGCGTTCGGACGAACGAACGGACGGACGGCGACGGTGCCTGCATACGCACATTGTACGACGCAAACCACAACAGTGATAGTAGCAGGCGACGACGACGACGACGGCGCCAGGATCAGCACGGAGTGAGTGAGTAGCCGGCTGGCTGGCTGGCTAGCTTGGTGGCTGGGAGAGCGGGCTGCCACCGACGGAGCGCAACAGCATCACGGAAGGGTCTATTGCCGTTCCGTACCGTTGTGCTGGCCGCTAGTTGAGCTGACAGCCAGCTAATATCAATACTGCTTGCAGGCAGACGGACGGCAGACACAGAAACGGAGATACACACGCACACCTGCTGCAGCTGACGGCTGGCATTTTGCTTAGCTGAAATTTTGTTGTTGATCAATTTGACTCTGTTCGTTGGCAAACCAAATAGGGTAAATCACGTAATGCGGTAACGAGCCGCGGCCCTCCTGTCCGCCTCATGTGTGCTTCACCAACCGTTCGAGTCTGCATGTGCGAGTACGATTTCGAGTAGTAGCTGCAGTGATAGAGGCGGTACTTGGCGGCCTGCATGTGCGTGTATCATGTGTAAGATGTTGTTGCAAAGTCAAGTGGTAACGGCGGCGGCAGCGGCGACGACGGCGGCAGCGGCAGCGGCGGCTTGAGCGACATGTGCTGTTAGTTTTCGGCTGCGAGCTGTCGTTGCTTGACACAGGCACTCGTACAAGCGATCGTGCTTTCTTCAGTGCACGGCGCTGCTGATGCTGATTCGACCCTGATCTGGTAGTAGCGACAGCGGTGGCCAAAAGGGACGACCACGACGGTACGATGCCGTCGTCGAAGTGGGGGCAAGTGGCAGAAACAACAACGACGACGACGATAACAACAACAACAGATGGACCACGGCCACGAGCAGCGCTCCGTGGGGCCGTAGTGGAAGAACGGGTTCATGTGAACGACGATAACAGCTGGATGTAGAGGAAAACAGTCATTTCGGCAGGTCATGTCATGATGCCGAATATACTAGGACGGGGGGAGGGAAGCACACAAATTACAACAAAACCAGCATCAGCTTCTGTCTCGGTATTCAACAGGTGGTCTGACTGATTAGCAGTGATACAGATGTGTTCGTTGTGCACAATGAAGAACACAGCGTTACGGGTTAACTAAGACATCAACAATGAAAACGATGACAACTATAACTATGGCAACAATAGCGGCAATGTGACGACATTCATATAAATATTAATCACTGCTATTATTATTTTTATTGAAAAATATTGGCTGGACCGGTAACGGCTACGACGGGGGTGTGACTGATCATGTTTCTGACTCGAGCGTCAGATGTGTTTGCCAGTGAATGGTAGGCCAGATCCAAAAAGTAGATACAATTAACACAGAACGAACGACTGCAGGATCAGTGCATTGGATACGATGGTGAGTACAATCAGTGCCTGTTATGAGTGAGTGTCTTCGATGAAGTGTGGATGATTGTTGGTGTACCACAGTGTCTAAGTGCTTAAGGTAAACACTACTCAGTTTCCAAAGTACATCTTTGTGAAAATAATCGATGCATTTCAGTTTCGAGAAAGTGTTACGTAAAAGAAAGGCTGACTACCAGCATTATTTGTAGCTATACTCGTGATATTGATACGGTGCAACTTGTATGCTTGCATCGTTGAAACTGTATGTCTTTATTTTTCCTTGCTGGAAGTAGTCGTCGTAACCGATGAGTAGACAGATCTACAGCTATATCTGGGGAGATCCGCGTTTGTAACACAAACTTATCGGGGATTATTAATTAGGTACGGGCTCTTCCAAAACGGGTGCTTTGTTGCATGACCATATTAAGTATCAACTGTTTGCCTCCCAGGGCTTTCACAATTGTCGATGATTATATAGATAGATAGCATATCGCATTGGTAGCGACGCGGTGCCCAGCTATATTATAAGGGCTGAAATCTAAGGCAGTTGCTGAGCGAACCTATCATCTAGCAAATTAAGAGATTATCTGCCAGACTGCCTTTTCCAACAAATGGCTTGCCTAAGAGACGCACTATGGGTTCAAATGACTCCTGACAAAATGTTGCTACGGCAGCGAAAATGCTTAACAGTACTGAAGTCTGATTCTGTTGTACTCGGACTTTATGGCACGATGATGGAATTTTCCTAGCCAGATTAGGGTTATCTTCTATTGATTAAATAGCTGATACTGGCTTGGTTTCTCAATAGGTTCACACATTAAACTCCTTGAGAAAACATTGGACCTGTAGCGCGACCTATGGCTAGCAGTGAAGCTCTTGGACAACGACATAATAACAGATGACCCCAAAATGCACGTTATTTTTTATGCACACCGAAACCCATTTTCAATCTCACTAAAATAAAAAATATTTATTTACTTTACGTGATACTCTTGCCTAAGTGATATTCTCCTCTGAAGACGTTCTATAATATTCTTGGGCTGCGTGCTAACTTATTGCTTTTGTGAAGGCCAACTCTATCTGTGGACACAATTTGGACACATTAACGTTATCATAATCGTGTAATGCATTGTAGTAGTTCAGTCGAGGCTTCAGTTCACTAGAGCATCGTTTGCTATGCGTGAGGTGCTTCCATTAATTCAAAAGAAGCGAATTTTAATGCGTTCGAAGCTTATTTAGACTTACGATATTTTTGGGACAAAAGTACATATTATAAAGGAAGAGATCTATGTAAAGATTCATGTATAGCGTCTGTAATAATTTCTCAAGATGTTCTCTCTAACCATGCAGACGAGCGAGTGTATACATATAGAGGTGCGGACGCCTCGGAACACTAGGTATTCTTATACTTCGAAAGGCGTACAAGAAAGAGTCAACATATCTGTTAAATGCTAAGACTTTTTTCCTTCTAAATAGAAAGCCTTTGTTGCTTTGAAACTTATATTGATTGCTAATTATTTACCTATACTATATATTTTTAACCAATTAGGGATAAAATGCAACCGCGATCAGATTCATATGAAACCTAATTGAAGAGTAATATTGCTAAGTTGCTTGCTGTTGTTATTGTTGTTGCTATCAGTTAATAGAAAAGGAATGGGGTAGAACATATATATATATATATATATATATAGTGTAGATTAAAATTTAATAATTTTGATAAAACTGTTTAGTGCCCGCAGACAACAAAATTATGAACTTTGAATTTCTAGGAAGGCACCGTTTTCCCTCTAAGTACGATTAAGGACAGTGCATACGTCCTCAACGAAGATTTTAATCCTACAGTTCAATTTACGACATCTTTATATATTTATATTAAAGTTTTCCACGCAGTATTATCAGGGCTGTATGTCTTAAATGAGTGGTCATGGTGTTTTTCATAGCTGAACAAATGTTAGGATTTTATTGGTTACGGTTGGAGCTTCCAGCGCCATTTTCTCTTATATAAGCTAAAACTAAAGTCAGATTGTCGGAGGCTCATAGAGAATCGCTAAGTTTTCTGCAACCAATGGTTTTATAAGACAAACAGAGTAAAATTATGTTTGATATGGCCTTTTTTCATGTAGCCCATCATTATCGAAACCTAACAACCCGGTATAAATAGGCCTGACTCGATATGAGCCCGACTGCCTACGTTATTTTTTCTTCATCAATTCAACTACAGCAGTGTCTATTCGCTTTTCCTCTTTGCGGTTTTTTTCTCATTTACGCACCCTACAATCAGAGTAGGATAATTCACTAATTACTAATACTCTATGTGCGCCCATATAGTACAAGGATTAACACATTTATCAAATTCCAAATGAACCATGTCTTCTGCTAGCTCGGACGCAGACGCAAAACGGATTGGTTAGGGTTTGACCTATCGCCTAGCGCAAAGGCAAATTATCGCCAATAAGAGACTAGCTTAGCGTCTCAGTAGAGCAGATAGTAATAAATAGTATCTAGGCATTTATTAATACTATATCTTTATAGCAACAATTGATTCCGTAGCGCATATAGGCTAGATCGATAAACTTGAACGAGGAACATCGTTAGAGAATAGAACCATAACCGAAACACGGTTCAGCGTGCGGAAAAACTCTCTACCGTGATCATGCAGCTTCATAAGGAAAATTTTATGTCTTTCTTAATTATTGAAAAAATCATCTCATCAAAAATAATTGGAAATCCCTCAAAAAACGTTAGCATTGCTCGAGAGCCGACGTAGGATTTCGAGTCGTATTCGTTTCTACGTGGACATAGATTAGCAAGATTAATGGACACAAAGCGGCTATGCATTATCAGTAGAGCGTATAAATGTACCGTATAAATGCCTAATAGGTCTCGAATCGCATAGTGCTGGATAACCATTTTAGATACAAACGTCATTTCAGTACATGTTGTTAGGACACATCTATAAATGATGTAGCGAGAGCCTCGTTCGATCAATATCTATTAGTTGTCGAATAGTGGACCTAGTAAGGCGCAGGAAACTGTTTTCGCCATAATATGTGATTTCGTAAGATATTAAAGGTATGCATCGAACTAAAAATATATATTCATACATATTAGTGAAATTAAACGAATTTTTGTCAAATTCGAGCTGTTACCGTATTGTATTTTAGGACAGATACAGCGATGTTGAAACGTAAAAAATATTGAGCCTTACTAAGTGAGTCCGTTCGATTGCTCCCGCCAGTGGAAAAGAAGTTGAAGGAAGATCGTTATGATTCGCCTACCTAACATGATTTGCGATAGATGCCAATACTAACATTGGCTAAAAGATCTAAGTTAATAACACATATTCTGAAATGTTTGGAAGTTACTGCGTACACTTGGATAAAAGCTATTATTTCTATCTTTTTTTTTTTCGAGTTGAAACTCCAATACACGCGGTGCAGAGACATGGTTCGCGAGTCGATGGAGGATAATTTGAGTATAGTCATAATAATGATGGGCGATGATAATCACAGTGGCAAAACGTAACTGTGCACGATACTAATTAAGGTAATTTCTAAGCTTTTGCAAAACAAAACTTCTCGTTAACTGTAACTCGTTTTCGTTAACGGCACCATTAAATTTTTGCGGTCCACCGAACGCTATCGCTTGAATGTGGCCTCATGGTCGTATTGACACGCCTACGAGACAATTAATGATCGAGTCACTCGCATAAATTAACGAGCAGTTTCTCATTCGATATCTGAGAGACTTAACAATCCGAGTATATCCAACAATGTGAGTGAGGAAAAAATTATCTCAGGGGAACATTTTTTGTGTGAGTTTGTGTACCGGGTACCGGAAAACATAGAGAACGTGAATTCAGTAGGTATTATTCGTTTCAATGACCGTTTCGTTGTCCTTCGTCTTACTTAAAGGCGCGCCCGTCTCTATGGGAACCTTTACAGCTTCCGCCAAAACTTTTGTCCGCGGTCTTGACTGTTTTTATCGTTATCGTTGTTGTTGAGTAGTTCACGTCCGCCGAACTCCTCCTGCATGTAAATGTTGCAGGTATTTGCCCCGACCTCCGTTACGATTATCGCTGTCATCACTGGGGCTGTTTCTGTCGCGGCATGCGTGCTATTCGTAAAAGTGACTCAGTCATCGTAGAGGTCGCCGAAAACGCTCACTTGAGCTCCAATAAATCTCTGACTCAGATGTAAACTGTTACAAGCAGACTAGCCAGTGTGGAGGTTGGTTAGCCTATTTTTAGTCAACATAGCGGCCGGATAGACGGCGAGGATGACCACGACAGCGAACCTGTAAACGGACGCGTACCTGAGCTATTCACACAAGGCTGTGATTGTAAATCAAAAGAGCAGTAGTAACGAGACGCCTCAGCTAGCTTTCTCTTAATCGATGCAACGAGCCACAGCCGATGCGACCTGCGATATTTGATCGCTTATGCAGAGCGCAAACCTATTCAATCGAGAATCAAATGATTAACAAAGTCAATTTGCTACAGGTAAATTAAATACGCAACTCTTATAATTGACATTGCTGTTTAAAGTTACACTTGGTTACACCAAGTAGGAGCTCTCTTCTTAGTAGTTAACTGCCAGGCATCAATCACCCTGCGAGACCAGTAACTTATTAAGTTTTGATTTTGAACTCAGAATTGACGGTTTTTAGTTATGAACCAATTTCATAACGTAATTGCAACAAATTGCATATCTCTAGAAATTATTTGTCCCTGAAAGTAGGATAATGGCCTTGGTAGCCTTATGAGGTTAACGATTAATAACTAAATACGTTTTAAAATATCTTAATGTGGTTCGAGGGATGCGTATAAGTAAATAGAAAGAGAGAGCTTTAACTGATGTACTGACTTCTCATAAAAATGATTGGCTCAAAAGTTCCAAGATGTCCGTTCGTAAGCTTCTTCACTTTCAATCGATTACTGAGTAAACAAATCACACACATTGCCGTATTGCTAGATTCAATTGGTATGGGTCGATTGCATTGATGTAATTA